ACATACAGGGTGTACTTGCATGGGTGTAGCAAGATGACGGCTGCCATTCCACGCTTGAAATGACGTCACCACGCCTCCGTCCCACGCGTTATGTCACAGGTTACATGACTTCCTCGGGCCTTTGACCGCATGATGTAGATTCACAGCGATAGATTCCAAATGCAAATACTACATTTAGAATCAACTCAAGACCTTTTACCTGATTAACTGATGAAGAAATAATGGAGTAGCCCACACCTGGCTATGAAACAGCTTTTGATTCAATTGTCCAATTACTTTTGGTCCCTTGAAAAAGGGGGATGATGGCTACTCTTAAGAGCTGTAATTCCTAAACCCTTCCTCCAATTTGGGTGTACATTATTATTTTTATTATTATACAGTATTTATATAGCGCCAACAGTTCGCTCAGCGCTGTACATTACAATGGGGGACAATACATGAGACAATACAATAACAATACAGTGCGATACATGAGGGGTTCGAGGGCCCTGCTCCTTGGAGCTTACAATCTACATACCCTCAAATTAAACCTGAGAGTGTGCACTTTCAGCTCATATCCATTATAAAACTATAGCTTGAGTATGTTTTGGTAAATACCTGAAATAAATTAAATTGTGCCTGTGTCCAAATATATCTGGACCTAACTGTATATATATAAAAAAAAAATTAAAGGAACATTTTTAAAACACATCAGACCTCAATGGGGAAAAATATCATGCTGGATATCTATATTGATATGGCCCATTTGATGGAAATGAAAATGATCAACCTACAGAGGACTGAAAATCAAAGTGAAATAATGATGAAACAGGCTAGTCCATTTTGTTGAAATTTTATTGCAGCAACTCAAAATTGTACTCCGTAGTTTGCATGGCCCCCATTTGCTTGTATGCATGCCTGACAACATCGGGGCATGCTCCTAATGAGATGATGAATGATGTCCTGGGGTATTTCCTCCCAGATCTGGACCAGGACATCACTGAGCTCCTGGACAGTCTGAGGTGCAACCTGGCAGCGTCAGATGGACCGAATCATAATATCTCAGAGGTGTTCTATTGGATTTAGGTCAGATGAGCATGGGGGCCATTCAATTATATCAATTCCTTCATCCTCCAGGCACTGCCTGCATACGCTCGCCACATGAGGCTGGGCATTGTTGTGCAGCCGGAGGAACCCAGGACTCACTGCACCAGTGTAGGGTCTGACAAATGGGTCTAAGGATTTCATCCGATATCTAATGGCAGTCCGGGTGCCATTGTCTTCCCTGTAGAGGTCTGTGTGTCCCTCCATGGATATGCCTCCCCAGACCATCACTGATCCACCACCAAAACACTCATGCTGAACCATGTTACAGGCAGCATAACGTTCTCCACGGCTTCTCCAGACCCTTTCATGTCTGTCACATATGCTCAGGATGAACCTGCTCTCATCTGTGAAAAGCACAGGGCGCCAGTGGCGGACCTGCCAATTCTGGTGTTCAATGTCAAATGCCAATCGAGCTCTATGGTGCCGGGCTGTGAGCACAGGGCCCACTAGAGGACGTCGGGCCCTCAAGCCACCCTCATGAAGTCTGTTTCTGATTGTTTGGTCAGAGATATTCACACCAGTGGCCTGCTGGAGGTCTTTTTGTAGGGCTCTGGCAGTGCTCATCCTGTTCCTCCTTGCACAAAGGAGCAGATACCAGTCCTGCTGATGGGTTACGAACCTTTTACCCTCTCCTAGAGTAACTGCCTGTCTCCTGCAAACTCCTCCATTCTCTTGAGACTGTGCTGGGAGACACTGCAAACCTTCTGGCAATGGAACGTATTGATATGCCATCCTGGAGGAGTTTGACTGCCTGTGCAACCTCTGTAGGGTCCAGGTATCGCCTCATACTACCAGTAGTGACACTGACTTTAGCCAAATGTAAAACTAGTGAAAAACAGTCAGAAAAGATGAGTAGGGAAAAAATGTCAGTGTCCTCCACCTGTAAAACTATTCCTGTTTTGGGGTTTGTATCATTCTTGCCCATTTAGTGCAGCTGTTGTTAATTTCATAAACACCAAAGCAGCTGAAACTGATTGACAACCCCCTCTGCTACTTAACTGACCAGATCAATATCCCAGGAGTTTACTTGATTTGATGCTATACTGTTATTTAAAAGTGTTCCCTCTGTTTTTTTTTTTTTGTGTGTATATATGTATGTATGTGTGTGTGTATACATACATACATACATACATACATACATACATACGCACACACCTCAATAAAACACACATGAACTTTAATGACATCTCATTCTTAGTCTGTAGGGTTCAATATTGAGTTGGCCCACCCTATGCAGTTCTAACTGCTTCAACCCTTCTGGGAAGGCTGTCCACAAGGTTTAGGCGTGTGTCTATGGGAATGTTTGACCATTCTTCCACAAATGCATTTGTGCGGTCAGGCACTGGTGTCGGACGAGAAGGCCTGGATCGCAGTCTCTGCTGTAATTCATCCCAAAGGTGTTCTATTGAGTTGAGATCAGGACTCTATGCAGGCCAGTCAAGTTCCTCCACCCCAAACTAACTCATCCATGTCTTTATGGACCTTGCTATGTGCACAGGTGCGCAGTGATGTTTGAGCAGGAAGGGGCCATCCCCAAACTGTTCCCACAAAGTTGGGAGCATAAAATTGTCTTGGTATGCTGACACCTTAAGAGTTCCCTTCACTGGAACAAAGGGTCCAAGCCCAACCCCTAAAAAAACAACCCCACACTATAATTCCTCTCTCCACCAAACGTTACACTTGACACAATGCAGTCTCAGGCAAGTACTGTTCTCCTGGCAAACCCAGACACGTCCATCAGATTGCCAGACAGAGAAGTGTAATTTGTCACTTCAGAGTGACTCTAGAGTCCAGTGGCAGTGTGCTTTACACTACTGCATCCGACGCTTTGCATTGCACTTGGTGTTGTAAGGCTTGGATGCAGCTGCTCAGCCATGGAAACACATTCCATGAAGCTCTCTACACACTGTTGTTGTGCTAATCTGAAGGCCACATGCAGTTTGGAGGTCTTTATCTATTGACTCTGCATACAGTTGGCGACTTCTGCGCACTGTGCGCTTCGGCATGCACTGACCCCGCTCTGTCAATTTTACGTGGCCTGCCACTTTGTGATCGCAAAACACAGGAGTGAGAGCAATAATTTTAGGGCCATCTTTCATAGTAAACTCTGAACTGATGAGCTGTAAATGCTTTGAAGCATCACTTATGGAAATGTTTTGGATACCATAGTTTGGCATCCATTTACATTACACAACCTCATCTTTTATATTTACAAAAAAAAAAAAGGTATTCTATTGTGTTTGTGTGCACTAAAATTCGTGTTAGTGTTGTTTTTTTTTTTTTTTTTTTTAAATAGAAAATATAGATTTGGTAAGCGGTTGTACAAATATGTAGCGTAAAAAAAAAATGGCAAGCTGCCACCATTTTAACGAAAAATCCAAAAAATTTTGTCTTGGTTAAAAATGGGTACAGTATAAACAGTGTTGTTCTTGAATAGCCTAATCTGAGTCCAAATCTCCATCCAATAACGAATTTGTGGCAGCTTAGTACAAAAAAATGGGTAAAAATTGAATGGGAAGTGTCTAGATTTGCAAAGCTGATAGACTCCTATCCACACAACCCTCAAACTTGTAATTGCCAAAAAACACATCTACTAAATGCTGACTTGAAAGGGTTGTGGTCTTTTTGACATTAGAGAGCATTTCTCTAGATCAGGGGTAGGCAAACTTTGAGAGGTGGAGATCTACCTGAACAACATGAAAGAGATTAAAGATCACCGGGGTTCAGCGCCATTTACTAAAAAAATATAATTAAACAAATGTCACTGTAAAAATACAAACTTGGCCTACCTTAAAAATGGACAGTGTCAGTAGGTCAGTGGTTTGTGCCAGTCAGCAGGGCAGTGGACGGTGTCAGTAGTTTTTATTTTTACAGACCTAGCAATCAATCACCTGCCGCTTTTAATATGAAAAGTTAATTTGGCCAGCTGCTCCTCCTGCTCTCCGTTCTGAGCTTGCTGTCTTCTGCTCTCCTCTGTGCACTGAGAATGTCAGCAGCAGTGGAGGAGGCTGGGGAAAAGGGAGGGAGAGGAACCTGTTAGCGGTCTACCTGTCACCTGCCCACAGTCGATAGACTGCGATCGATGGGTTGCTGACCCCCACTCTAGATCAATGCTAATAGAAGCAAAATTAAATCCACTGTGATGCACTGTTCCATGACTATAAAATTATAACAATGTTTAAGGGGTGAATGCTTTTGTATAGATACATAGGGGTAGATTTACTGAAACTGGAGAGTGCAAAATATGGTGCATAGAAATCAATTGGCTTCCATTTTTATTTAAATTTTTTTGTTAAAGCTTAATTGAACAAGGTGAAGTTAGAAGCCAATTGGCTACCGTGCACAGCTACACCATATTTTGCACAGTCCAGATTTAGAAAATCAACCCCTGTATGTCTTCAATCTTCAAAATAAACATTTAATACATGACAAAGGATTTCCAGTGCACTGTGAGTTATCACTGCTTACCTCAAGACACTGTTTTGACTAGTTTGAAAGCTCTGAGTGAACCACCAGATAGTGGGAGGTCCCATTGCAGTTTGTCATTCAGTTGCATAAATTATAACTTGAGCTATTGCGGTTTGTTAACAAGCTTTTTACGGTAGGTGGTAGAGAATGTGAAAATACTTTTGAATTGGAAACTAATTTGTCACCGGCTGACTATATAGAACAGCATAATGTTTTTGTTCAAATTGTAATATTACTCTGATGGAAAAAATTGTTGACCATAATATTGATATAATCTATACAAATCACTTGTGCATTCCCATTTAAACCTTTTTTCTATGTAAGAGAACTTTGATTTCCTGATCATGTTAATAAATTGAGTCTAGCTTTTCTTATTCGGTAGTCTTATTGTTCAGTTTTTTCTTGGCAATGGACACCCAGTGATCATTGATTTCTCTTCTTTCCAGCTTGCCTTAGTTACTTGGAGGGATTGCCTTTTTCGGCCTTTGAACAAACAGGTAAGAGCTGCGAGCATCATTGATTATTTTCTGGTCCTTTTGAAGCTGTTATTCTGTGAGAACAGAGGACATGTTTTACCTTTTATAAGAACAAGCATATGTATATGGTTTTAAATAGGGTTTTGAGAATAAATGTTGATGTTTTGCAAATTTAAAAAAAAAAAAAAAAAAAAAAAATCTACTTCCGTATGCTTTCTGAAGCATGGTTAAATTCAAAATACTCCCTCTGAAATTCATACTGGGCTTAGGGTAAAGTACTATTGGTTCCCTCATTTTTCATTGCTTCATGGACTTGACTTTCTTTAGTAGATGGTAAATTACAAACTTTTTGATGGAAGACAGCAGTAGATGATATGACCAGCTTTGTAAATTTTGATTTTACAAGTAAACCTTTCATAAACTCTTCCTAGCAAAAGCATAGCATTCCCTTCATACAATAAAAGGTATCCATGTGTCTCCATCACAAATCAGAAAATATGAGCACCATTCCTTATTGCAGGATAATGGGTAGAGCCTTGCAAATGTCTCCTTTATTCATTCTTTAACAACTGTACATCGAGAACTTCTGGATTATAGTGCATAAATGGCCTAATATTATAGAGCCATTCATTCCAAATTTCATACAGCTGTTTCAAGCTTATTGGCCATCATCAGTGCAGTACATGGAAACAATGGCTTATTTGGCATAGGGCTTAGGGAACAACAAAAAAGTATAACTTGGCAGGTTATGGCAAAGTGGGTCAATTCATGTAAAATCGAGATTGGGCCAACAGTCTCACCTCCTTTTATGGTTCCTTTAATGGCTTTGAAAATGTGTTAGCAGTAAAGAGTCTGTGAAGGTTGAAGGAGGGCATGACCAAGCTCATATTTAAAAACCTTAGTTCAAATTTTGCATGTTATCTCATCTGCTTATTGGCGATAAATCATGCACATTGCACTAAAGAGGCAGCCTCAGCTCATTTATTATGTCATAAGCTCATAGCTATTGTTGTCTCAGAGAATTAATGTACTAAGAAACCTGCATTCCTCTTCCATCAGTCATCTTAATTATTATTACTCCTAATTGCTACTTGGTGCCCTATGGATTTTATTTGCTATACTCCAGGTAAACTGCCAAAATGCAGCTAATGAAATTGCATATATTATATATGTGCTGTTTTTTATCCGTGAAAGGATTTGCATTTCTGTGCAGATCTGAAATTTACAGCACTCACCACCAAATAGCGCAGCCCTGGTAGGACAGGAGACATTCTTTTTCTCTGTGGTAGCTAAATATGTAAGTTTTTTCACAAGAAAATGAAAAGGTGAACTAACACCCTAAACCAGATTTTCTCAACCTTTTCAACACAAAGGAACCCTTGAAATAACTTTCTAGTCTCAGGGAACCCCTGCCTGAAATTAAATATATCTACAGCTCATAATACATTAATGTGATGGAAAGTGGGAAGAATACTCCTTACACTTACACTATCTTACTGATAAAAAGATAATTTGTGTCAGTAGAAACTTATGTGGGAGTCATAAATTGCTCATTGATTAAGGAACCCCTAGCAACCTCTGGAAGAACCCTTGGGAACCATGGAATCCTGGTTGAGAAACCCTGCCCTACACTCTCCCCACCTGCTTTGCCCCCGCTTGCATTTATCTTCATGCTTGATTAGCTGTCACTGCCCATGCAGTTGGTGGTGTAGTTCTGGGATGAAATTCCTGCTCCTCTTCCTCTTTCTTTTTGTAGGGCTTTCAGGACAGCTCATAGTGATTTTGATTGGTCAGAGCAGTCATGTGACTAATCACAAGCGCTCTGATATGTCTCTAAAGTGGGCCATGAAGACCAAACTTTGCCACCCCATAGGAGGTCAGACCACAGCAGCAGAAATAAACAGAATTTGGAGGAGGCTGATGGCAATAGAAAGTACTTTTCTGAGTTAGGAACACATACCTCCATAAAAAACATCTTTTAAAAACAGAGCAAATTGTCACTTTAATTACTACCACTTCCTCTCGGTCGGTGTATAGCAAAGATCTTAGAAGCTGAGTTGGCAAAGCTGGATGTATTTATAAATCTTTTTTTAGTATGGCTTTTGCACAACATTGCTCTACTATAAGCCAAACCTATTTATGCACCACATTTTAAAATAAGAAGTGACTGTTGGCAATATTGTATGAAAAGTGGAAACACAGCCTAAGACTATGTGTAAAAATGATCCCTTCCACTCCTGCTACCTATCCTGCCTAACCTGTATAAAGATGGGTATACTTGCCTATTTTTAGTCCACTTCGGTTACATGATCTCATATATCCAACTACCCTGTGCCCAGGATCAGCAGCTGCAGGGGAGAGAAGGGACAACAGCTGAACTATGGGAGCTTATGAGTGATGTCACAGCTCCCCGCCATTGTTGAGCACTCCCTTGTTTCTCCTGCAGCCGCTGCTCACTAACACAAGATCGCATGACCGGACTAGAGCAGACTAAAAATGGGTAAGTATACACCGGCTAGGTAGCAAAAGGGGCAGAAGGAACATTTTAAGCATAGCTAATGTTAGGCTGGAATTCCACTTGTAAGTTTTAAAGAACTCATAAAGTGCTAGAGATTTATCTGTCCTTTGGCTTGAAGCTTATGAGATGTGTGTAATACTGCAGTTGTTCCTTAGGCAGTTAATTCAGTGCTAACAACTGGCTAGAGGAAGGTTAATTTAGACAACATGGAGTTTACAGTGACACTGACTGGCAGCCACTGTGATAGACTGGTCTTGTGATGCTATTTTTCTATATAAAAATTAAACAGGAGGTACCCCAAATTGGACTAAATGGACTATCTCAGTACCGATTGACAACACAATAGCATAAAAAGAATATATTTAATGATACCAAGTGAAAAAATTTCTTTGACATGCACATGAAATTATATTTAAAACCACATGATTTAACAACATGGTATAGTGAAGTACATAAATCATAAGTACTGTAGCTTAACCCGTAAGATGATAGAGCCATGGGGGGGGTGATGTTTACTCCTTTACATGTTTTGTGGACATGATCCGCTTCAGGAGGAAAGGTCAAAATTTACTCTGGAAACAAAACCATAGTTGTCAAAATAAAAACAATATATGCTCACATACAGTTTATGATGGTATGTTCAAATTGGTGAACTGACTGCTTAGCAATGTGGACTTATGCTTTAAAAAGGCCAAACGGGCACCAACAAACGTCCCACACAGCGGATAGATAGCAGGCACAAGTACCAGGAACTAATAATAATCAAAATGTGAGTGAAAAAAAAGAGAGAAGAGAAAACCATATACTAACCCTAAAAAATACTATAATAGCAAGGCCAAGAGGGAGTTAAAGAAAATATATGCAAGCACCATCCAAAACTTAGGAGTTGGAGGTTAATAACAGGTCATGACTCAAACTACATTAGGATCATAGTCAAGATGTTCTGAAATATCCACCACAGTTCATTTGATATTAGATGAGGTAGCACATGCATGGGCCAAAAAAGATTAAAAAAAAAACTCTGAAAATATATATCAAGTTGTTAATCTGTTCTCTAGCCAGAAATATATAGAGAAAAATCATGTGTGCATTTTTTTTTTTTTTTTTTTTTTTAGGTTACAAATGCAGTGCTCAAACTGATTGAAAAAGAGCGAAATGGAGAAACCATAAACACAAGGCTCATCAGTGGAGTTGTACAGTCTTATGGTAAGATCCCATAGACATGTTAACACTTAAAGGATAGGTTCACCTTTTACAAAAACAATAAATGCATATCTTTTTGAAGGTAAAAAAAAGTGCATTTATTTTTTTTACTGCAGCCTGTAAGGCATTGGACCCGCAAAACAGCAGATTTGGGGTGCAATGCCTGGACCCTGCAGATAATCAGTATGTTTACTGCCCATACCCAGGGGTGTATTTACCACAAGGCAAACAAGGAATTTGCCTAGGGCGGCATTTTTCAGGGGGGGCAGCACTTCCCCTCGGAAGAAGGGACACACCCGGCATGGGGACCTGGTGGCTTCCAAGAGAGGCTGTAGGTTTCTTGACGGTGTATGCATTACCCCATTCTTCTTCCCAGGGATATCTGGAGTTGTGAAGGCAAATGTCTTTCTCTGTTTCACCATGGCGGATGGTGGCTGGTATATGGGATGGGGGGCAGTGGTAGTGGAAGGCTCTCTCGGGGGGGATCAGGGGTGTTGTAGGTCAATGTCAGGCTATCTATGTGGGGGAGGGGCAATTTGTGTGTTGCCTAGGGCAGCACAAAACCTAAATACACCACTGCCTGTACCTCGTACCTGCACACAGTAGGTAAAAAAAAAAACATTCAGCCTTTAGAACTACTTAGACGTCCTTGCCAGACCATTCATTTTCTTCAAAAATCTTTCCATAGACAAATAAAAATATTTTTGCATTTAACATATTTTCTGCGTGTTCTTTAGCTGTAAAAAGATAGAATAATCCCAATGCACATGTTCCTGGATCTGAGGTTGGCTGTATGCATAAATGGGTGCTGTAGAGACCATTGGCTGGAATCGAAAAAAGACTCAAATGGGAAGAACATCACCAGCATACCAAGGATGTCCAATTAAGGGTCCAAAGCTTTAATCAGAAATCACATATTTACAGCAAGTGCAACGTTTCAGACTCTCATAGGACCCCTTCATCAGGCATGTGACATGCCTGACAAAGTGGTCCTGCGATATTCCGAAACGTTGCACTTGCTGTAAATATGTGATTGCTGATTAAAGTTTTGGACCCCTAATTGGAAATCTTTGGTGTGCTGGTGACGTTCTTCCCACTTTTAACTGTAAAAGCCACCTTAATGTAGATATCCAAAATCCCTGAGACCGCTGCTGGGTGCCACCATCACAAATGTGATGTCAGCAGCCCCAACAGGCTCCGAGTTGTCACTCAAATGATGCTTTTCCTCCCATCTGGCAGCTACCTAATAGGTTATGTATGAAGTGGAGGAACAAAAATTCTGGTTAACACTGTAAATATACACTCCTGTTAAAAAGAGATAGGGCTATGACATGTAAGGAGGGAGGGGGCAGTGCTAGATTATTCACAAAGTGAATTTTTTTAGCAAGTTCATGTTGCAAAGTGAGTAAAAAATTTATTTAAGAAAGGGAAAATATTGCAAGTAGGCATTTAGAGAAAATTCATCCTAACTTTTTTTTTTTTTTTTTTTTTTTTTTTTTTTTTTTGAGTTCTGTCCCCGAAGGGTTGGAAAACACCTGACAACATGGAACAAAGTACTACATGTACTTGGTCCCGTAGGAGACATAACTGTAAAAAGAGTTATACTTATATTGTGCTTTTTATCTGCATTTTGGGTTTCTTTAAAGTGACCCTGTCACAACAGGAATACCTTCAGAAAGAATAGGTAATATATTTACCTTTCTCCCTTATTGACCTATCTTGAAATTCTGCCATGATGCTACCACAGTTATTTGACTATCCTGATAAGTCGAGTGCCTGCACATGGTGGTTTCTTCCACGGGCTTGTATGTCCTTTAGTGATGTATGAGCTGGTGCAACCACATGGGGAAGAGGTAGCGGGAATTCACACATCCAGATGGGATAAACACTTGCAGTGGCTGAAGAGCTGCATTTTGGTGGCATTTCAAGACCTGTCCTGCCAAAGGTCTCATTCACACAGGCATTCTGATGGTATTGCTGTTTGCTCTGTTGACCCTGTAGTCACATGGCTACTTTAGTAAACATTTCTCCAAAGGACAGTTGGGTACCTTGTGTGCCATTTTTTCCCCCTAACCGCTAGTAATAATCCTATTTTTTTATATATGTAATTAGTCTCAGTTGCACAGTGTGTATAAAGTGTACAGTTCTGTTAAAGTAATAATGGCTGCATTGACTGGGTCAGTTTGTGCACATGTATAAAAATGCTGTTATTACAGAATGATTGCTGACACGTTTCTACAGATTTCAGTAATAAAGAAATAATGTGTTGGTTTAGGAAAGCACATGACTGTTTACAGTTAAATTCTTTGTCTTCACAGTCATAAAATAGTTTGTATTAACTTTGGTACGTGTCTTGGCAAAAAATGTCCTGTTACTGAAAAAATATAAGAACTTGCGTTACCAGTGATTCTCAGACTTCTGTAATAAGGGCTTATATTCACTTTTTGAAATAGAAGACCCTGTGGTGATTGAAAATAAACACACCTCATTTAAATTGAACAAGCATAGGGGAAAATGGGATTTGACATGTGTGCCCTATTTACAGTCATTGGAGAATGGGAACACTGGGCCTGAGGATTCCTAACACAATGCTCTCTTGAAACCATAGCCTGACAGTATTCTTTTCTATTTGCAGTCGAGCTGGGCTTGAATGAAGATGATGCGTTTGCCAAAGGCCCCACGTTGACCGTGTACAAAGAATCTTTTGAATCTCAGTTTTTGGCTGACACAGAGAGGTTCTATACAAGAGAGAGCACAGAGTTTTTACAGCAGAACCCCGTCACAGAATACATGAAGAAGGTGACTTCAGTTCTTGGCAACGTGGCCTTGTCTGTTTTCTCATTTATTAAGTTTAAATCTTGAGCAAAATTGTCTAATTACTGCATACTGATGGGAAAGAAAAACTGTGGATTTCCATTTTCAGTACAGTCGCTGGTTATAAGGGCTTAAAATATGTTGAAGTAAAAGGTTGCAATCTACATACATATGGATGAATTAAACATTTTGTTTTTGATAAGTGGACATTAGCATCTTCCCGCTTGGCCTGTAGCAGATTGAAGGCCTGGCGGGACACTTCTCTTTGTGACTGGGCGTCATATGACGTCCTGTCAGAAGGAGCTGCTCACGCTGCCTCGGTGCGATCTGTCACTGACTGCCTCCACGGGACACAGCCGATGACATATCAAAGCAGTCACATGGTACGGACAGGGCCAATCGCAGCCCATCTATATCATGTGTGATGAGTTTTGCCCAATCACAGCTAATCACAACAAAAAGACTAAATCGGTTTCATTCAGTAAACAATGATTGCAAATATTAATGAAATACATTGGTATTCGCAATCATAATGTGTAAAAAAATAAAATAAAAAATCCTGATCACTTGACCAGAGTAGTTCAGTGTTACTATGGTAACATCGTATTGCTTTGGTCACAGTGTGTTAAAAAGAAATCAAGTAAAAAAAAAAAAGAAAAAGTAATGTATTAAAAAAAAAAAAAAAAAAAAAAAAAAAAAAATTATTACTTTTATTTTGTTTTACATACTGTCACCAGTCAGTGTCCCTGATCACTGCCACACCAGTTATATAATAATGCTGTACTGGACTTGTGATATGTAAAAAAAAAAAAAAAAAAAATACAACTTCCAAAAAACTCACCATGCCTCTTACTAAATATCTTGGATTGTCTATTTTCCAAAAATGGGTAATTTGGGGCTTTTTGGACCTCAGGAAATTAGATGGGCCGTCAGTACATCAGGATTGATCGATTGTCAGATATATGTATACCATGGTTTGTGGACTATATAATTTTCCTACAGACTAAATAATATACACTAATTTGGGGTATTTTCACCAAAGAAATGCAGCAGAATATGTTTTGACCTAAATGTATGAAGCAATGTTATTTATTTGCAAAATTTTATAATCCAAACAAAGAAAAAAACATTTTTTTTTCAAAAGTTTTGGGGGTTTTTTTTGTTTATTTAGCAAAAAATAAACTCATTGGTGATGAAATACCACCAAAAGAAAGCTCTATTTGTGTGAAAAAAAATGATAATTTTTTTATGGGTACGATGTTGCATGACTGCACAATTGTCATTCAAAGTGCGACAACACTGAAAGCTGAAAATTGGCCTCGGCAGGAAGAGGGTAAAAGTGCCCGGTGTTGAAGTGGTTAAGTAGTAGTACTGGACAGTACTTTGCTACTAAGTACTCTTCTTAGTGAGTGGTACTGCAAGTACGTGGATGAATACGCAAAGGTCTAGAGCAGTAGTGGTCAGTTTTAAATTTATAGAGGGCCTCAAGTGTGACCTCGCCACTTCCAGAGGGCTGCACAATAGCCGCTCATTTTCATACATTTAGGTGCACCGCGTCAAGTGAGGCAGCCCACACAAAATAAATGGCTCTTAATGCACCTTAGCACCCAAAAATGTTGGTCCTGCTTACCCCAGTGCACAATGAAGAAGTTGGAGTACATTAGCCCCCAGCTCTGGTGTCATTGGCAATAATAATAACCCCCAGCATTGGTGTCAGTGAGTACAATAATAAACCCCATCATTTGTGTACGTGAAGGTGATAATAATCCCCAACATTAGTGTCAATGCATGTAATAATAATCCTTAACCCCCTTCATGCCTGGCGTCTGGGCCTAGACACCGAGCGGCTGCACATTTGCGTTCATGTAACAAAAGACATATGTGCTGAGAGCGTGCGCCCTGTGCACTCCCAGCAAACGTGTGGTACTCACGGAAAGGTCCCGGTCCGCTCTTTCGATCAGGACCTTTCCCAATCATGTGACCGCCGTGACGCCCCACCCGCCCCGCCTCCCGGCGGCTGAAATTCTTAAAGGGCCGGGAGGCGCCGGCGGGAAGGGGTTAACATTCATGTCAGTGGACACAACCCCCAGCACTGATATCAGTGACTGCAATAATAGCACCCAGCACTGGTGTCAGTATAATTAACCCTATCCACCACATTGGTGGTCACTGGCTGTGAAATTAAATCTCCCCATCCCCCATAAATGGGTGGTCAGTAGCAGTGAAAGTTAAAGCTGAGCTCCAGCTTTTAGTATGGTTTAAATAGTTTGGGTGGACCATGCTGGTCCAAATGAACTATTTACTTAGGGATGCAGCCGCTGTGTGTGCTGTATGTAGTCTCACAAGACCTTCCTGTCACACTCCCAGAACAAAATCGATGACTCGTTACAAAACTTCCTCTGGTTCGCTGAGGTGAAGAGGCAGGCTGATGACACCACAATGTCCTACTCAGCCAATCAAAGGAAGCTTTGTATTCATTCATAAAATACAAAGCTCCCTGTGAAAAGTTGAGTACCGCTCAACCCAACTCAATCTTCAGGAGTGGGAACACAGCGCCATTCACTGTATTTAGCTGAGCCTACATACAGCTTGTACAGCGCACACAGCCACTAAATCTCTTGATGAAGCTGGTCCAAAAGCACTATTTAAATTATTTAAACATAGAAGGCGTTCCAGTGCTCAGTACGCTGCCGCCTATCTAGTGCCCAATAGCTTATAGACCGCATTCAGAGGCCCTCCAGGACATGTGCTGGGCACCAGGGGTCTAGTGCAGTGGTCTCCAAACTGTTGCCCGGGGGGCCAGATGCCACCCTTTGGTTGCCTTTATCTTGCCCTTGGGGCACTATTTCATCCACTGATGCCAACAATCAGGCATAATTCCCCCCCCCCCCCCTTTACACCAACGCCTTCCAATGACAACAGTGATCGGGCACAATTCCTCTGACTGATACAAACAATTGGGAATTATTTTTTCCCCACTGACGTTGGGACCTTTTCTATTCCATCTGGCCCTCCTAAAGTCTATAGGACAGTAAACTGGCCCTTTATTTAGAAAGTTTGGAGACCCCTGGTCCAGAGGAAAGATGCCTGCAGCTACTGACAAATAAGACTTTGGAACCTGTCGCTGTCAGTGGATCCTCTGTAGTGCTTTTATTTTTCTTTTTTTATAGATCAATGGTAACACCCCTGAAACCATTTTGAAAACCCAAGCACAAGTCGCTTGCTATCATATCTATGAGCCCTTCATTGGTTATTCTAAAATACTCCTACCATGTCAGCAAAGGCTTTGTGTAAGCTGTATTTCCTGGTTCCTCATGTATTCTTCATGCGTTTACATGGAGATTCTACAGTAACAGTGCAACACTAGATTCTCCACAGGCTTACAGGAACTCTTAGGGCCTTTGTCAATAGGATTTGGGCTTGTGTTAAAGAAAAAATGCATCTTTCTTTCATATGCATTCTGCTTGCATTTGACATCAATTTGAGACACATTGGCAAGTGAATTTATCCGCAGTTGTCCTTCATTTATTTGATTCTTTTTTTGACCTTCTAATCTGCATTAGGGCTCATGTACATGAGCAGCTCCTAAACTCAAGGTTTTTTTTTGCCAAAGCTCCTAAACTCAACTCCATGCAAGCCTATCTGTCCATGTACACATAGACTTTTAGCAGAGTTTAGGAGCTGCCACATTTAGGTGAGGTTAAACCTTCCTCTCCTGAACTCGGAAGAATCGCATTCAGGATAGGAAAAGTTTTGACCGCCGACTGCGAGAAGCCGCAAAATGCGGCAACCGCGGTACCACAATTTTGCAGCTTTGTCACGATTTGCGGTTTCCCATGGCCGGTGGTCAGGGTAGGCTCCTGTACATGGAGCCTTAGGCTGCTTCAAGTTGCCTTTTCATTCACATGCATGGGGAGAGAAGCATTTGTGAGAGGAACAAAGGGCAGCAGACTCAAGCTATTTAAGGCTTTGTTCACACCATATGTACAGAAAAACTGATGGAAACTGACATGCAGATTTTACTTGCAGAAACATTAGTTTACATGCACGCTTCAATGGGTTTTATACATATTGCAGACTCCTGCACAGAAAAAATCTGCACCTGATACTAGCGTTTGTGGTGTGAGCAAGGCACAGAGCGAACAATTGCTTTTGTCTCTGCACCATGGTGTGAACAAGCCCCCTGAAGCATATCAACATGGACATAGTTTGTAATCCAGCTTTCAGAACCAAGTTGACAGTGTGTTGGAGATGGGGGATGTTGCTTTATATTTAAAGCAGAGCTCCAGTCAATTTTGTAAAAATTAAGTCAGCAGACACAAAAACTTTAGCTGCTGAATTTTAATAAACAGACACCTACTTGTCCCCGGATCCACCGGTGTTCTCACCCGAGGGGGCACTGTGTATCGTCTTAGGTCTCCGTTGCCAGCATCTTAGCTGTGGGCACCTGGCTGTGACAGCTTGCGGCTTCATAGCCAGGTGCCCAGTGTGCATGTGCGAGCCACGCTGCACACTGTGATTTTTTTTTTTTCCACAGTCTTCTGGGACCTGTGCTGTGTCCCAGAAAACTGCAGGGAGGGAGGGAAGAAGGAGCAAACCCCCCCCCCCCCCCCACACACACACACCTTTTGGTCATCATGAATATGGCTTACCATTGAATGTTTTATGTAGTAGTCGTTGCATAATAGTTTTTGTTTTTTTTTTTCCCCTCATTTTTAGGCTGAAGCTCGGCTTTTAGAAGAGCAGAGAAGAGTACAGGTATACCTTCATGAGAGCACTCAGGATGAGCTAGCAAGGAAATGTGAACAGGTCCTCATAGAAAAACACCTGGAGATCTTCCATACAGAGTTCCAGAATTTACTTGATGCAGACAAGAATGAAGGTGACTTGGTAGCTCTTGGTTCAATTTCATATGTTGGGATTTATTAATCGTAGAAATTTTATTTAAAAATGGTTATCTTTTTTTCCCACTTTGTTCAAGTTAGACCTCATGCACGCAGGCTTTTGAATTTATGCTCAAAATATGCTGGCTTTTTTTCTGCCAGCACTTGGAAAAATGCCAACTGGAAAAATGGTTCGTATGGTGTAAATCCATTCTACTGGCCATAATAATTTTTTTTTGGCCATTGAAATGCATTTACACTCATAAGTTTGCATTTATGCGTGCCTACATTATGCTCATAAGCTCCTCCCAAAACTCAACTTTTGTTTTTTTGGTTTGTTTTTTTGCCTCTAAAGACCTGGTCTTGAAATTTAGATCCAAATGCCTGATATGAATGGCCACATAGGCTAACAGGCATAAAAAAAGCTGAATGCCTGTAAAAGTAGCATTTTTTTTTCTTAAAGCGTATGTGCTTTAGCTCTTCATGTTGAGGGGGGTGGAGGAGTACCACCAGTAATTAAAAAAAAAAAAAAAAAAAAAAAGCTGATGTGCTAAAATACATTTTTATGTGCATCTGTATCTGACCTCACACATACTTTCCCATCCTCTGTGTGTTTGGGGTCAGACAGTTAACAGGCCATACTTCAAGAGACCTCAGACTATGAATGCCTCACCAATAGCATCCACCACATTGCTGTTTTGACAGGGTTGTTTATTGTTTTAAAAACTCTGTTCATGTTGTATAATCTACTTTGAGTCAGGCATTTTTTCTGATCAGTTCTTCAGTAGGAATGGTGACTACAATACTTGGTCTACAAGTAGCTGCAAGGGGGAAATATAATTATGAGATCAGAAATTTGAAATGAAAAAACAGTACCTTCTGAAAAATATTTTAAAGTGGAATTAAGCCCAAAAATGAAAACACTGACAGGCAGGATTTTTATGGCAGACAAGACCTAGTGGTCTCTTCGGTCATACATGCTTCCCTGTGTCTGTCAGCAATAATGTACACTGAACTGCATAAGCACAGCTCAGAGTACATTTACTGCACGCACTCTTTTCTGTGATGAAGTGACTCCAGTGTGAATGCGCAGGAGTTATGCCATTACAGACCATCCATGCAAGTGGCAGAATAGAGCAAACCCAGGAGAAGATGGAAGCGTTTATGCACTGACAGCTGGAGGGCATCCTTTGACAAGTAAGGCGTAATGTGCTAGTATGAGGTGCAATATTGTAAAAACCTGCAGAGGGTTTGTTTTAGAAACTTTCTTTGTCTAAGGGTAAAACAAATCTTAATGCCTAAGCACAAGTTTGCAACTTTGACATGTGTTAGCAATACTGTACATATCAGAACTACTTTGTGCATCCAGGTGAATTATACATTTTTCAGGACAAATTGGGCTTCCATTTGGTGGTAAATGGTAATGGATATCTCCTGATTTTTTTTTCTTTTATTACCAAAGGAAAACTGGCTCAAAATAGTGAAAAAAAATTTTTTTTTTAAATTTAGCTGTATATATCTTGCTACTTTCATAACCTAACAACAAAGAACAACCCAAAATAATTTCTCCTGCTCCTGATTATCGCAGCAAAACCACATATGTGTATGGTAGTTGTTTGTGCCTGCAGTACAGCCCAGAAACAATAGTGCACAGTTTGCTTTTTTTTTTTTTTTTTTTTTTTTTATCCTGCCACTAACTGACCCAAACACAAACCCTGGCACAGATCTAGATCGAACCTTGATGTAGTTGTTTTTGTTTGTTTTATTTAAATATTTTTGTTAATGTATTTATTTATTACAAACACTTGTTTTTGTTTTTTTTTTTTTATTTCTTTCGGAAAGGACAGAGATGCAATGTGTGTCTCCTCCTCCATTCAGAGAGAGAGAACAAGGGGAGCAGGCTTCACAGTGACTGATCACTGTGATAGCCAACCAGAGGCTATCACAGCGATCAGGTGACCCGGAATCGGGAGTTCCGGGTCCGATCATTAGAACGGGACTCAGGGCTCTCAGTGACACCCCGGTCTTTGTGCTGGGAGTGTGCCGTGCAGCGCGCTCCCAGCAGAAAGACAGGTACACAAGTTTGCAACACCACGGAAAATAGCCCAGTTCTGTGAGGCTGCTAATTTGCATGCGGTCAGCGTCAAGGGGTTAAAGCGTAAATCAAGTCCACAATACTTACCTCTCCTACAACAGTCCAATGTCCCTCACCAGCAATGGCATCTTCCCAGCTTCTTCCAGGTTGTGGCTGTTTTCTTTGGCCATTGCAGTCACTTGTAGCAACGTTATTTCTGTACATGTGCAGAAATTCAGTCATTCCAGTTCACAGGATCTGTGCCAGAATGTAAACTGAATTGAGCCTGCACAGTCTACATTCACAGGAAGACTGCGAGCAGACAGGTAGGTTTATTTAATTGCAGAAGGGATATTGCATGTCTGTTTTGCAATATAGAGCCTTCTTGTGCAGTTTTATAAACTGAAATTTTATTTCTGCTTTAGGTCATTGTACATAGCATAGTAAAACTTTAGTTTACTCCCTTGTAAAAAAAAAATAAAAAATGTTTTTCTTTCAGATCTGGGGCGAATGTACAATCTTGTATCACGAATACAGGATGGTCTGGGAGAGCTGAAAAAACTTTTAGAAACACATATCCACAATCAAGGACTTGCTGCTATAGAAAAGTGTGGAGAAGCAGCACAGAATGTAAGTAATGTTTGTTACACTACTAAGAATAGAGCTGAAACTTGTACACATCACTTAGAAGCCTCATCTGCAAATTCCTCAGCTGCTTTTTTTTTTTCTTTTCCCCCTCCTGATTTGTGTTGACATTTAGGCAGGCTTCAACATTTATGAATTGTGGTAATGTGTGGGAAAACATGCATTACTACAATGCATGGTAGCATCTGATATGGGGTGCCATTTATTTTTAATGGTTCCCCAACAGACCTTCTCATACATGGATTTCATCGCATTGCAGTGCACAGGGGATTCTGTGCATTGATGACAAATGGTGAATAACTGGTTTTAAGTGTGTTGTGGTGCATTGACATCCCATTCAAAATTAACAAGCTGTTTTAATGCAGCACATGTTAATGCACAAAATACCAGATATCAACGTGATTGTAGTAACACACCAGATAGGTATAAAGGGAAGCTAAAGGTAAATTAATATGACACTCCTTGAGTAAACCTGAAACTTTTTTCTTGGCACTATAAAATCAAATGTTGTGTTTTTAAGTGCCAAGTATCAGGGAAGATGCAATTTATAGTTTCATCTAAGATATATATATATATATATATATATATATATATATATATATATATATATATACACACACACTATATTGCCAGAAGTATTGGGACACCCCACCAAATTATTGGATTCAGGTGTTCCAGTCACCTCCATGGCCACAGGTGTATAAAATCAAGCACCTAGGCATGCAGACGTCTACAAACATTTGTGAAAAAATTAGTCTCTCTCAGGAGCTCAGTAAATTCAAGTGTGGTACCGTGATAGGTTGTCACCTGTGCAATAAGTAATAAATATTCCACAGTCAACTGTTAATGGTAGTATAAGAAAGTGGTAACAACAGCAACTCAGCCACGAAGTGGTAGGCTACGTAAAATGACAGAGCGGGGTCAGCTCATGCTGATGCGCACAGTGCGCAGAAGTTGCCAACTGTCTTCAGAGTCAATAGCTAAAGACCTTCAAACTTCATGTGGCCTTCAGATTAGCACAACAACAGTGCGTAAAGAGCTTCATGGAATGAGTTTCCATGGCCGAGCAGGTGAATCCAAGCCTTACATCATTAGGGGCAATGCAAAGCGTCGGATGCAGTGGTGTAAAGCACGCTGCCACTGGACTCTAGAGCAGTGAAGACATGTTCTCTGGAGTGCCGAATCACGCTTCTCTGTCTGGCAATCTGATGGACGTGTCTGGCAGTTGCCAGGAGAACAGTACTTGCGTTACTGTATTGTGTAAAGTTTGGTGGAGGGGGGATTATGGTGCGGGGTTGTTTTTTAGGGGTTGGGCTTGGCCCCTTAGTTCCAGTGAAGGGAACTCTTAAGACGTAAGCATACCAAGACATTTTGGACACTTTCATGCTCCCAACTTTGTGGGAACCGTTTGGGGATGGCCCCTTCCTGTCCCAACATGACTGCGCACCAGTGCACAAAGCAAGGTCCATAAAGACATGGATGTGTGAGTTTGGGGTAGAGGAACTTGACTGGCCTGCACAGAGTCCTGACCTCAACCCAATAGAACACCTTTGGGATGAATTAGAGTGGAGACTGTGAGCCAGGCCTTCTCGTCTGACATCAGTGCCTGACCTCACAAATGTGCTTCTGGAAGAAGGGTCAATCATTCCCATAGACACAATCCTAAACCTTGTGGAAAGCCTTCCCAGAAGAGTTGAAGCTGTTATAGCTGCAAAGGGTGGACCAACTCAATATTGAATCTTATAGACTAAGACTGGGATGCCATTAAAGTTCATGTGCATGTAAAGGCAGGCCAACCAATACTTTTGGCAATATAGTGTATCTAATGATTAATGATAATAGCATTATCTGTGTGTGCGTGCGTACATATATCTGTATTCTTCTTTCTTTTTTTTTTTTTTTTTTAATACACAAAGTGTTGTTATATTCTCCCAGGATCCAAAAATGTATGTACAGACAGTCTTGGATGTCCACAAGAAATATAATGCACTAGTTATGTCAGCGTTCAACAACGATGCAGGGTTTGTGGCTGCTCTGGATAAGGTATGTATTTTTACATTTTGTTTTCTAATCACTGTTTTTTTACCCACTAATTCAGAACAATTTCCTCATACAAGTCTCCTCTTCACTACAGGCTTGTGGCCGATTTATAAATAACAATGCAGTGACAAAAATGGCCCAGTCTTCCAGCAAATCTCCTGAACTACTTGCCCGCTATTGTGACTCTCTACTAAAGAAGAGGTAAGCATCTTTTAGCTTTATAACAAACAAATTACATTCTCCTCTTTCTTCCATTTGTGAGTATATGCATTTTCTTCTTGACTTGCATCTACTTAAAATGTTCATACTCTATTCTGTTTGTTCAGCTCCAAGAATCCAGAAGAGGCAGAATTGGAAGACACACTTAATCAAGTTGTAAGAATCAACATTTTATCATTTATTTTTTATTATAAATGTGTGTATTTTAACCATTTGTCGCCTGCCCTATGGCCGAATGGCGGGCGGCAAATGTCATCAGCGTTCCGGGTGGACGCCATATGGCGTCCTCCCGCACATGCGTAGATTGCGCTCCTGCAGAGTGGCGCAGCCGATGACAGATCTGAGTATCGGCCCCCCCGTTGCCGGTACCGTGTGACCTGCTGTGACCAATCACAGCAGGTCACATGACAGTTGTATACAATGGATGGCTTCATTCATGCCATCCATTGTATACTAGTGTCTAGCTGTGAATGGTCACAGCTAATCACATGCACATGTCATGTGATTAGCTGTGGCCAAATCACAGCGAAGCACAAAAAAAAAAAAAAAAACCTCTGGATGAATCGATGTCATTCAGGTAAATGCTTGCTTATAGCAAAGTAATTCTTTGCTATAAGCAAATTGTGTAAAAAAATACTGATCACTTCCCCAAAGTAGTACAATGTTACTATGGTAACATTGTACTACTTTGGTCATAGGGAAATATGAAAAAAAAAATATATATATTATTTTTTTTTTCATACTGTCACCAGTCAGTGTCCCTGATCACCACCATGCCAGTTATATGATGACGCTGTACTGCACTGGTGACAATATGTAAAAAAAAAAAATAGTGAAACTAATTTTTTTTAATTTTCCGAAAAATAATGACAAAAAAAATACAACCTCAAAAAACTCGCCATGCCTCTTATGAAGTACGTCGGACTGCCTACTCTGCAAAAAGGGGTCATTTGGGGGATATCTGTACTGTTCTGACATTCTTGGACCTCAAGAAATTAGATTGGCTGTCAGTACTTCAGGATTGATCAATATTCAGATCTATACCATAGTTTGTGACCTCTATAACTTTCCTACAAACTAAAAAATACATCCTAATTTGGGTTATTTTCACCAAAGACATGTAGCAGAATACATCTCAGCCTAAATTTATGAAGAACAATTATTTATTTGCAAACTTTTATAACAGAAACAAAGAAAAACTTTTTTTTTCAAAATTATTGGTCTTTTTTTGTTAATTTAGCAAAAAATAAAAACCCCAGCGGTGATTAAATTCCACCTAAAGAAAGCTCTAGTTGTGTGAAGAAAATGCTAAAATTTTAGTTTGGGTACAATGTTGTATGACCGTGCAATTGTCATTCAAAGTGTGAGAGCGCTGAAAACTGGCCTGGGCAGGAAGGTGTAAAATTGCTGTATTGAATTGGTTAAACATGTCTTTCCATTCCTATTGAACCTAAAAATACAGATATGTACTAGTGCAAAGCCCAGCTATTGCTGTTTTTAGATGGCTATATCATGCGTCTGGTATATTTTTGGGGGGTTTATTTTTTTTTACCCATTTAATTGATAAAAGCAAAGGGATTGTTACTAGCTCTGAAATTTTTCTTCCGCAGATGGTAGTATTTAAATACATAGAAGATAAGGATGTATTTCAGAAATTCTATGCAAAAATGCTCGCAAAACGTTTAGTGCACCAAAACAGCGCCAGCGATGATGCAGAAGCGAGTATGATATCCAAACTTAAGGTAAGTTATTTGAGAGTATATCTTTTTTTTTTTTAGCTGATCAATAGCCTAGGTAGGAGGAGTCTTTTATTTAATGTGTTCCTAAACCCACAACAGAAAAATCAGTCTGTATATGCAGTAAAGCATGCTTGTTATACTCACTGTGGAAGCTAAAGGGTTAATCTTCTGCATTGTGTAAAAAGGCCATTTGATCCTGTCTTCTCTGTTCCTCCTCTTTTTCAAATACCCACGTCTTATCTCCTGATAAGACAGACTGAGCCATAGTTATTCTGCACATGCTCAGATCTCCTGATAAGACAGACTGAGCCGTAGCCATTCTACACATGCTCAGTTTGGTTTGTATTCTAGAGAGGGTGTTTTGTTTTTTTTTCTTGGGAGAGTGCATGTGATCAGCACATGACTAATGAGCACTGTCCAGATAGAGGTCAGAGGTTTTGCATCCTCCTAGAGCAGAAAGAAAACTCATCCTACAAGCTTTAACCAGTGCTCTGCTGGACACTGATAGAAGTCACAAGACTGCTCTAACTGTTGATGAGAAAAGGTATTTAGTAGTTTATATTTACTAAACGAAATTGCACTTCTATGTTCTGTGTACTGTGGGAGACCGGATATAGTGAATGCAGGGTCTGGGGTTTAGTAACACTTTAACTCATCTGTGGAGTATAATCGTATTAAAGATGTTTTTGGGTTCTGTGAAAAATCAGTAGGTTATGCAGGTTCTGTAGAAGAAAATTGTGGTGCTTTTTCTGGTCCTGTCCATCTTTACTGTGCAGTGGGGCTTTTCAAAATAATTTTGGCTGCATTTTCAAGCCTATAACTAGAAAAGGTGAACACGGTTGTATCATTCATATTTAGTATTTTTGCTCAGTATTTTCCTATCTACACTTAAAGTGAAATTCCAGTAAAATTCTAACTCCGCTTAAACCTACTCCCATCCCTATCCTATCTACCTACTTGCCTATTAAAAGAAAAGATGTCTATACTTGCCTATCCTGAAGCTCTCTCAGTCACATGTTCGGGTCCCAGCTTCTGTGTAGAGGAGAGGCAGCGACAATGGCTGCGGAGCCTGGGCAATGATGCCACCCAGAGTCTTAGTGTGGCATCCGTTATTCGCTTTCCTACACTGAAGTCAGCACTGGGACCCAATGTGTGGTCGGGGTCCCAGGGATGGCTTCTGTGTAGAGGAGTGGCAGCGACAATGGCTGCGGAGCCTGGGCAATGATGCCACCCAGAGTCTTAGTGTGGCATCCGAAATTTAAAAATTTTATTCGCTTTCCATTCTCTACACTACATATTGTCCCTAGTGCTTTGCCCTGCGCCCTGCCTGCATTTTGTCTATTCTTTCTGCTTGGAAAACTGGGTCCATGGCCCAATTGTGTGGTCGGACCAGAGTGGCTTCAGAATAGGTAAGAGTTGGCATTTCTTTTCATTTTTTTCTGTTTGGTTTAATAGAATAATTTTGAGAATGGGGGTAGGAGTAGGCATAGGCTTAATTAGAGTACCGCTTTACAAAAATCTGAAAATAATCATACCGCCAGGGAGGTTAATTAGAGTACTGGAATTCCACTTTAAACGTTCCTCCTGTTTTGCATGCTATACACAAATGCAATTGGTTATCCTATTAAAGACGCTTAATAAGATACTTGATAATAAAAAGTCCACTTTATTTCTTGGCTTTATCTGTTCTTTTTTCTGTATCCCTTTTTTTAATTGCAATACAGCGTCTATGTGTAAAATACTACTCACTGAGAGTACGTTAATCTTGCAGTAGAGAACTAGAAATATGTAATTATGTATGCCTAATTCCTAATGTCATTGTCAGTTTAACTGCCGATCTAAACTTTAAAATATGATGCTCATGAAGGCTAGGTTCACATCTGTGCGGGTGGTGCCGCTGAGGATCCGCATGAAAATCCATGCAGCCGCACCACCCTCACAGAGAAATGCGGACCCGCGGGTGTGTGCCATTACTTCTAATGGCACGCCGCCCGCATTGGAAAACGCAACCGTACTGGGAGCCGAGGTTCCCGCGTAGGCTGCTTTTTTGCACAGGGACTTCTTCCCTACGTGTCACGGGCACTAGAGTCCATTCAAATGAATGGGCTCTCCTGCCCATGCAAAACGCAGCCCGCACGGCCGCATATATGTGTGTTGCGCTGACTTTATTGGCATGTCCGATATTCCACTTTGAAGGAACAGTTCAGCTACTGAGTTAAGACATGTCGGCTAAGGACATAAGAGTAGTGTTGCTCTTTTGCTGATGAATCCAGCTCGGCATTTTACTCTAAAGCGAAGTTCCTGCTTGTAAAAACCATACTGTATGCATAGAGTTCAGAAAGCTTTTAACAAACTAATTTACATCAATGAAATGCATTTGCTTTATATACTGCATAACTGAATGGTAATTTAAAATATGTCATACGTTCACTGTTTGGGTATTTGAGGTAAGGGTGGAGAGCTAATTGCACTGCTTTATCACTCGTATCTTTACAGCAAGCCTGTGGTTTTGAATATACCTCAAAGCTGCAAAGGATGTTCCAAGACATTGGTGTCAGCAAAGACTTAAATGAACAGTTTAAAAAGCACCTGACAAATTCAGAACCTCTTGACTGTGAGTACCTCATACTAAGACATTTTATGGCTGGAGTATTTAAATAAAATGCACTTCATCTAGACTTGGTGTTGCTTTCCAGCACTCTTAAAATTTGCATTACATTGATAATATAGTTTGATCCCCCCCCCTTCTCTGCCTTAGTCTGCCTCCTGGCAACAATATAGTTTAGCCTTGAATAAAGTGAGCAAGGATTACAAATGCTCAGGTATTCATGCCCATCTTTTACTTTCTGTTGTAGGGATTGTGGAAATCTCCCTAGAGTAATTGGAAATCTCGTCCTTAACAGTTGTCACTGTAATAGGTGTGCTCATTAGTAGATACCCTCTCCACTCTTGTTTTGGTGACAATTTAAATTTTTGGATTTCCCCTTGACAGTAGTTACCAGGACAGATGGTGAACATGGATGCAAACAGCTATGAAAATTTTAGACGTTACAGCACTTCCCTCTCTGTTCAAGCCTAGAAAAAACAGCTGTTGCTAGTGTTCCAATTTAGGAAGTAATTATGTAGTTAATATGGTTGACCTGGTGCCTGGGATTAATTACTCTGCAGATGGGTGACTTGCTGTTATCCTGGTCATAGTTATTTCTATTCTAGTAGCCAGTTGAAGAAATTTTCATTCATGCTGGTTGTAGAAGAGCCCCACTAGTTATTGCATATACAGTAGGTATAGAAGAGAATCGCCTCCCCTATTAAAATCAGCCTGAAATGAAGACAGACACAGTTTTTGTTTTATCTGTCCATATTTACTGAGTGCAATTTATACCATCCAAGTGAAAGATAGAACTGCAACATGTCAGAAAAAAAATTCAAAAACAAAATTGCTGCATTGGAAAAAGGATCACACCCTTGTGTCAGTATTTTGTTGAACCACAGTTTGCTTTAACTACAGCCTTTAGTCTTTTGAGATATGTCTCTAACTTTGCACATCTAGACTTTGCAATATTTGCCCTCTCTTTGCAGAACTGCTCAAATTCAGTTAAATTTGATAAAGACCATTTGTGGACTGCAGTCTTCAAGTCATTTCACAGATTTTCAATGGAGTTTAAGTCTGGGCTCTGACTAGGCCATGCAAAGACATTCACCTTTTTTCCCTTCATCCACTATGTCATTTTTGCAGTGTGCTTTGGTTCATTGTCATTTTGGAAGGCAAACCTCCTTCCCATTGACAACTTTCTGGCAGACGACAGCAAATTTTCCTCAAGACTTTGATGGTATTTTGCCCCATCTATTTTTCCTGCTATATCCTGACAAGTGTTCCTGTCTCTGCTGCAGAGAAACAACCCCATAACAGGATATTACCACCTCCATGCTTTACTGTATTGTAGCATTACCCCCTCAAAAGCCGCTGGATTTGTTTGGGTCCCCCTAAGCTCTGCATGGCCAGGCAACACACATTTTCCACATCTTTCCATACAAAGTCAGTAAGACCGTTCTTGAGCTGGTTTTTAGTTGTTTTTATTGAGAGGGTTAACAACTTGGATGGAGTCTAGGGATATATGAGATATGAGAAATACCCCTGGTATATCTAAGGGTATATGGGATGTGCAAGAACTGCAAACTTGAGGACAAACAACTGTATACTGTACAAAAATTGTGGTTCAGGAAAATAGTACTATCTGTTGAGGACTGAAGTCCCCTTGTTGTACCTCCTCTTCACCCGGCTGCACTGAGGGAATCCTTGGGCAAGGGGTTCCAAGAGCTAACATTTAAGTAGTCCTGGATGAGAACTAGTTGGGTCTTACACCTGAACACCCTCTCCCTTTGTCTGTCCCAGGGGGTGTAGAAGTACTCGCACTGTTTGTAGTTGCTTTCAGGTCTTACGCTGGATTGGCTACTTCCCTGCCTCACAAGATGTCCTCCTAAGGAGACTTTGGGCAGTGGAGATCCTTCTTTCCAGTATCTCACCTGTAGGTTGCCCCACCTCCCAGACTCCACACTCCAGCCTCCTCTCACTCCATCTTCCACCCGACTCTAGGAACAACTCCCTGCTGCATAGGTTCTGTCACATTTAAGGTTTGCTCTTGCCACCGTGCCTGGCCTCCTGTCTAAGGATTGGCCAAGTTCCCTTAAACATGCAAATCTGGGTCTCCTCCGCCTCTCTTCCAGAAAGTTCTCCCAGTTTCTGGAAGGGTGGAAAGGCTCCAGAAGCCCTGACCTGTAGAGCCTCCCAGCTTGTTCTGAGGTGAACTCTCTCTACTTCATTCCCAGGCTGATTCATCCCAGGCTACCCAGCCTCTAACAAAATAACAAAGCCTATAACTAGAGGGTGCTACATGTAGGATTGGTGTTATTTGGATAGTGAGCTGTAATGGATTTCCGCCAGACTTGTTTTGAGGCCAAATCCTTCAATTTTAGTCTCATCTGACCATAACCCCTTTTTCCACGTGGCCTCAGAATCTTCAAGGTGCGTTTTTGGCAAAGCTCAGTCATGACTGCATGTGGCCTTTCTTGAGGAGTGGCTTTTTTCTTGCAACCCTCCTATACAAGGCACATTTGTAGAAAAATTGTGATATTGTTATCACATGCACACAATGACCACTCTTTGTCATAAATTCCTGCAACTGCTTCAGAGTTGCTGTAGGCCTCTTGGTAGCCTCTCTTACCAGTTTCCTTCTGGCTCTTTCATCCAGTTTGGAGTGACGTCCTGATCCATGGAGGGTCTGTGTTGTACCAAATACCTTCTACTTCTTAATAATAGACTTCACTGTGCTTCTAGGCATTGATAAAGCCTTTGAAATTTGTATATATCCATCTCCTGACTGTGCCTGTCCACATCTTTATCCCGGAAATCTTTTAACAGTGCCTTGCCACCCATACTTGATTGTTTACCATGGACTGAAATGCTGCAGGAAAGCTCTTTTCATGCTGAGCTAATCAAAATGACCACAGCTGATCACAGTTGAAAGTTAAATAACTTTGTGTGCCATTGAGAAGGTGATTGGCTACACCTGATTGAGTTTACAAGTCATTTTTAGGAGGGGGTGATCCTTTTTCCAACCCATGATTCTGTGTTTAGAAATGTTTTTCTGACATTTGGTGTTACGTCTTTCACTTGGATGTTATAAGTTGCACTGAGCAAATACAGCTGGATGAAACAAAACTGGTGTTGGTCTTCATTTCAGGTTGCAAAGTGGCAAAATGTGATTATTATAATGGGGGTGATTCTTTTCTGTACCCACTGTAGCTTGCTCTCCTAGTACACTTTAAATCCCAATGCAGTTTAAGAAAAACGGTGGTTCCAGTTGTTTCTGTTCATGCCTCTACCAGATATCCATGTGTGGGGGAATAATCACACATAAGCCTTGTGTGTGACAACTGACATTTCCTGCTTAGCATGTCATAGGTCGGTGGTAGTGTTTTTGTAGAAACAATATGCCTCCCACTTTTAGCAGAGATCCTCTTTAGTTTGAATAACTGCACTTTTATATGTAATTTTTTTATATAATGCTAGCTGTCTGTCCACCTTTATGCCATGACAGGGGTTTCTGAGGCATATGATGCTTTCTAGCAGTAAAATTAGTTCTTTTTCTTTAGTGTCATAAGAATTCCCCCTCTTTCTTACATATTATATCCTATAAACTAAACCTCCATAAATTAGAGAACCACATTTGTAGAAACATATTGAAAATCAGATGTACAAGGCTGAGGAATGTATTTCAGCACACTTTTTTCATGTTGAAAGTGAACCTTCAGTTTAACTGTCAAAGAGGTTAGCACAATCATTTTTGTTACCTGAATGTTCTGGACTTAGTATTTTTCATGTAATGGTGTAATTGAGTTTCTGGTCCTTTTATAATGTTGCCTTCAACATTGTGGGCTTTGAATCCTTGATGCTGCTTTTATTTTGCCAGTGTGTTATTTTATCCAACTTTAATTTCAGTAGAATATATTAAAACAGATATGTGTTCCCTTTATAAAAAAATAAATAAATCTTGTTTAAAGGCCTCTCTTGTCAACAAGTAAAATTGGTGAGGTATTAATGCAATCTGGGTACTGTTTCCCTAGGGTTTCCTGTCCCTTTGCTAATCTCAGAATTTGCATCTTCATCTTGGTACAGATTTTCCACACAGAGATACAGTTTATGATGCTATTTCTGTGTGGGGCTACTACTGCATGGTCATTGCCTAAGTTCATATGTAACAAGCATTTAACCTTTCTCGGTTTTATCTTTTGCAGTGGATTTCAGCATACAAGTCCTTAGCTCTGGGTCATGGCCTTTTCAACAGTTCTGCACATTTGCGTTACCTTCTGAGGTATGATATGGATTGGTTGCCTCCATAATATGGCTTTGTTCATTTCTGTTATGGCGAATAGACAGTCTTTTGAGAGAGCCGCAGATTGCTAAATACGTGTTACTGTACATTTGGGAGATGACTTGATGCAATGTCTGTCAGACATGGAAGTGTAACAAAAAAAAAAAAAATTGTTGTTGTATGTGTTTTATTTTCTGATGACTCCGGAGGGTGTGATAGGATTATGGCATTCAGAATTATGCAGTCATTTCAGGACATAGATACCACAAAATACCCATTTTCCTGCTTACTATAAAGCTTTCATATTTTGGAAGCTTAATGGGAGGCTGAATATATTGCTAAATGTTAGCTTTTGTTTATTTTACAACAATTACCAAACCCTCAATTTGTAAAATAACCCATTCAGTTTAAAACAGAAGTGAAAAGCCAAACATTTGTGTATACGATTAACAAAAACTTTAAAATACAATTTTTTTTTTTTTTTTTTTTTTTTTTATAAGTGATCACATACCTCTGTTCTTAGCTTTATAAGGATCTCAGGGAGGAGAAACAGCAGCACACTGATCTTCCCAGTGAATGGCAGCTGACGTTTGATCATTTAGCTCCCACACAGCCATAAAACTGACCATGCCCTGCTCTCATACCTAGAGTGGTCATTTTTTAATAGGAAAACAGGGGCTGGCAGGAACATCAGGGATTTCACTGAAAGGAATCAATACAAAGAAAACAGGATGCATTTTCGTACATGTACATGGTACAGCAGACACATATCGGGTATATGAAGTGTTGGGTTTATATATTCTTTAAACCAAGAATAACACATGATGAATTTTATACCTGTTTTAGGCCTGTAGTTAACTATAACTAGTAGAAGGCAACTTGCCTATCTCTGGTATTTTATTCTTATTCGTCCTGTATCTTCCTCTAGTAGTGAGTGAGAGTAGCTGCTGCATTCGATCTATAAGATTATTTATTTTATTTATTTATTTATTTATATATATATATATATATATCTTTTTTTTTTTTTTTTTTCTGCAAGGAGTAGGAAAGTATTGTCCCAGAGCAGGTGCCCCCTGTGTACAATTTCCCCTTTATTCATGTTCTGTAGGCAGTTTAAAAATTTGGATTATCCATTGCTTCAGGATGGCAAATAAAGCAGTAAATGTCCTCAATAGGTACACATGCAGCAATAATTCACTTCCATGTTTCATCCAATATTAAAACATTCTCATTGTTGTGATTGGCTTAAAACTTATGTCCAATCGAAAAGAAATTGAAAAAACTGTTGTGCAAGAATTATAGTGTGCTCCTGCCTTCCTTTTTGATATGGCAACACCGCTTTGAATTCCTAAGCACATGTTGTCAGCCCTACCTACTTAATTTCTGATGGATTACGTAAATCTCTCGTCTGCCCCAATAACCCTTCCTTGTGCACAGGCAGAGAGGGCACTGAATGTTTTCGGCTTACAAGATTTCTGGAAAAATCAACAGGTATTTGTTTGCACTCAAATAGATAAAACACTTGCGGTGTTCTGTTTAGCAGCCTCAAAAGGGATCAAATAAGAGAAGTTTAATTGTTGGGTTTTCATACACTGTAAAGCGAGACTTCACTTTTGCTGTGCATTATACGTTTGTACCTGTCCCTGCCAAATAAAAAAAACACGCTTCCCTGAAGATAAATGTTGTTTCCAGCAATTTGACGTACATATCTTGCCGTGCTCTGAAATAGGTGTTTTTGGTAAAGGCTGCACATTTAGCCCAATGCATGACCAATATTCATATAGCACTATCTAGTGGTGGCCTGGAACAACTTATCAACAAGCAATATAGATTGTAAACCTAGAACCAACCCATACTGCTGGAATCGGAATTTATTTTCAGGAAAAGGTGTCCCATTATTTTGGCTTTTTTTTTTTTTTTTTTTTTCATATGCTACAGAATCGAGCACAAAGTTAAAATTCTTAGTGAGAGTAGTTCTAGTTCAAAGCCCAACTGTCAGTCACAGCGTGGTAATGTTGAGTGGCATTCTTTCCCTCTTACCACATAGATTGTGCGAAACCTTTTGTTGTTTTTTTTTTCTCCCCGACTCTGAATGTTTTTTTTTTGTTTTTTTTTCTTTCAGTTGGAGCGCAGTTACCAGAGATTTACAGCTTTTTATGCCAGCCGCCACAGTGGAAGGAAATTAACTTGGTTATATCAATTGTCCAAAGGAGAATTGGTTACTAATTGCTTTAAAAATCGATATACTTTGCAGGTTGGTACCATTGTTGGGAGCTGTGAAAGATATTTTACAACAGGGGTAGGCAACCATAGAGAGGTGGAGATCTACCTGAACAACATGGGAGAAGTCAAAGATCAACAGGGTGCAGCATACTTTGTCCTTTTATGGAGATAACCGACAAAACGACAAATTAAAAAGTAAGGAGGGTTTGGAGAGTTCAGGGGTTGGTAGTAAGTAACAAACGCGTATCTCGCCAATACAAAAATACTCTCTTTATAGTACAAATATCTGCCCCCCCAAGCTAAAATCGACCACAATTTCTTCCTCTTTCAAGTTGATGCACTGGACTGCAGATGCAGTGGTGCCCAGCAGAGTGGGAGAAATCCTTCTAGGTTTTTCCCTTGGCTGTTTCATATGACACATTGGGGTTGGCAAGGAGCCTAGGACTTTCTTTGGCTTTGTGGTACTAATTGCTGCTCCGATTTCTGGTCAAAGAGGGGGAGACCACTTCTGACAAGGGGGCGTCATGGCAAACTGTGATTTGCTTCTCACATGACACTGATTGGCAAGTAGATTGCAGATGTCTTTTTGCTGACCCCTGCAGTATGTTATTGTAAAGACCATGCATTGGTTATGTCTGAAGTGGACCTTCCACAACTAATCTCTTAATCCATCTACTTGAATTTCATTTATTCAGCGCCATAATTTCTTGTAGAGGTGAACAGTTAGAGAGAAGGGGAAGGGGGTGGGAGCAGTGGTGAATTAACAATGCTTTATGAGCCATTGTAACCTGGTAAACTGTCAGACAACTCACATGGCTCTCTCTGGCCATGCAGTGAACACGCTACACATATCAAAATTATACCCTATTGTTGAGATAAATGCAGATGGTTTCATGTTCTCTGTTATAGCTTTGTAGAAGTGCTGCTGTTACATCAATACATAGTGCTTTGCTGTCTACAATCAATAACATAAAATGAATACATACAATGCACTGTACAATGATATATGATCTTTTTCTGCCTATTAGGCGTCCACATTCCAGATGGCAATCCTGCTACAATACAACACAGAAGATGCATACACAGTACAGCAACTGACAGATAGTACGCAGATAAAAATGGTATGATAAATTCCACATATTTTTTTTTTAAGTCTGTGCTTAAAATAAATAGGTTTTTTTTTTATTTTTTTTATGATAGATCTGTGAACTGAGTATTGTACTCAAATAATGTGGGCAAATGAGATTTTATGGAGTCTTATTCCTAGTGCAGGTTATTTGCAAGGATACATGTGGTGTTTATCCCATGTCCTGAATTTCCTTCTTTTTCAAATGGGATGCATGCATGCACACAACTTTTTCATTCTTTTGGTGTCTCTCAGCATCTCAGAATACTGTTGTGATGTAGACAGTCAATACAGCAACTTCCAGAGCTTAACCTGCAATTACCCTGCAATTACCCTGTCCTTGAAGTGTTACTAAACCCACATCCGTAAAATCAGTCTGTATATGCAGTAAGGCATGCTTGTTATTTTCACTGTGGAACCTAAGGGGTTAATTCTCTGCATTATGTAAAAAGGCTGTTTGATCCTGTGTTCTCTGATCTTCCCTTCCTTCCACAGTCCCCAATCCATTTGCTGATAATACACCACCCTAGGAGACACTCTGCACATGCTCAGTTTGGTGTGTTTTGGTAGAGAGTCTTTTTTCTTTTGGGGGGGCAGGTGCATGTGATCGACACAGGGCTAATCCGCAGTGTCCAGAAGGTCATGGGTTATGCCTCATAGGACAGTCAGAACACTGAATGAACACTCCTCCTACCAGATTAACCAGTGCTCAGCCAGACACTGATAGAATTAGCAAGACTGCTATATACTGCTGATGAAAAGAGGGTTTTAGCAGTTTATATTTACTAAAATAATTGTACTTCCATGTTCTGTGTACTGTGGGAGACCAGATATAGTGAATGCAGGGTCCTGGGTTTAGTAACACTCTAAGAAAGAGATCTGTGTGAGTGAGCAGATCAAATTGGGTTACCTATCTATGTGTATCAGTATAGCGTGTTAACAAAAACTTGTGCATGCTGTTGTCAGTCCTGCCATGGGAACCAATACACAGTTTAGTGGCTTTTATCTTCTGAAATGCTCCTATGTGGAGTTTTTCAACGTTCAATAAATGTGGCAAGGCTACCTGTGTGGAAGAGAGCATTGAATCCAACATCGTGTCTAGTGGGGTGAGCAGATTGTCATAGTATATTACTGGGAAGAAGTGTATTTGTGCGTTGGCTTATTCTACTACAGTTCTGCTTGAAAGCCTGTTACTGTTGGAAATGTGAAGAGAAATGTGAGAAAACACTGAGCTATTCATTTTTTGGAAAACCATCCAGATAACATAATATTGGACACAATACCAGCAAATCACAGGGATTTTAAGATGTGTGTTTTTTTTCCCGTTACAGGACATCCTGGTTCAGGTTCTACAAATTTTGCTTAAATCAAAGTTATTGGTGAGTTTTGGCACTGTTTTTATTACGATAAAAAAAAAAGTTGGTTGTTAAAGCTGAATGCCAGGCAAACGAAATATACAGTTGCAGTAAAAAGAATTAGCATTCTGGTCATCCAAAGATTTACACAGCCTGGCAAGACACCTGTATGCTCTTTCCTGAAGTAGTTACCTCCCTGTCCCCCACCAGGAGCAGCAGCAGACTACTGAGCTGATCCCTCTGCTCACAGTCTACTGTACAGGGGATTACAAGAGACTGAAACCTCTCTGGTATATATGCTAGCTACGTTTTAAAGGAGTTCTATAGTCACAGTTACAATTCGTGATCTGTACAAATATCTTCCAGACCTTACTTTCCATGTCCAGCTGCACATTCAATACTTCCCTTGTTTAACCCAGCTACTGTAGAGGAAGTCACTAAACCTATTTTCCAGCACGCACCTAACCACCTGTCCCCTGTTCCCTCGCAAATACTACGGTCACCCTCTGGCTCTATCCTTTTCTCTTTTAACTCATATCTTCAATCTCTCCTTTTTTGATGACATCTTTCCCAATCCTCTAAAACATGCCCCCTTACTCAAAAAGGCCCCACTGGACCCCACAAATCTTAACATCCTAAGACACATCTCCTTAATCCCCTTTGCCACCAAACTTTTTGAACATCTAGTCTACAACCGCCTCATCTATCACCTCACTGAGAATAACCTTCTTGATCCCCTTAAGCCCGGGATCACACTGATGTTGTGCAGAATTCGCATTGCTTTCAGTGTGATTTCTGCACCTCATCATAATCGCTCCCCGTTCATACAACTCGCTGCGGGTGTGTATTTTAAGTTAACGACACCCTGAAATCAGTTTGAAAAACGTGTGGCGATGTGGAAAATCAGATCACATGGATGTGAACACCCATGTGATTCGATTCTGGTGCGAACAAAAAAAGGGACATGCACTTCATTTTTTGGTGCGGATGCAGTGTGATTCATGCCATACAAAATGTATGGCTTAAATTGCACGTCACAGAAATCGCATGTGATTTGCGCTGGAATGCGGTGCGGTTCCTGTACGAATCAAATGCGATGTGCCGCACCACATCAGTGTGAACTTAAGCTCAGTCTGGATTTCTCCCACAACACCACAGAAACTCTTCTAAAACTCACAAACGACTTGCAGCTAAAACCAACGGTCACTATTCTGTACTCTTCTTTTTGGATCTCTTCTGCCTTTGATACAATTGACCACTCCCTCCTCCTCTTATTTCCTTGGTCTCTGTGACAGTGTCTCTATTGGTTCTCGTTTTACCTCTCACCCACACCCTCAGTGTCACTTACAATTCTACTTCCTCTTCTTCTTTTCCTCTTACCGTCAGTCTTCCATGGTTCTGTCCTTGGACCTTTCCTATTCGCGATCTACACCTGCTCCCTGGGTCAGCTGATAGCTTCTCATAGCTTCCAATACCATTTCTATGCTGATGACACCCAAATCTATCTTTCTACTCCTCCGCTCACCCTCCCTCACATATCACTGATTTACTAACAGACATATCAGTATGGATGTCAAACAAGGCTATTGCCCCTTCAGTCCACCATGAATGCTTCTGCCAGCCTCAAGCACTTTACCAACCCTTCAGTGTCTTCTACCTCTCTCTGCCAGTTCCTCCACTGGCTTCCGCTCACTCAATGAATAAAATTCAAAATACTAACAGCAACTTACAAAGCCTTCCACAACTGTGCCCCCAGCTACATCACTAACTTGGTCTGAAAATACCAACCAAACCGATCTCTTCAGTCCTCCCAATACCTCCTGCTCTTTAGCTCCCTTGTCACCTCCTCCCATGCTTGCTTCCAGGACTTCTCCTGAGCCTTTCCCTTCCTGTGGAACTCCTTACCCCAATCTGTCAGACTATCTCCTAATCTATAAAAGATGCCTATCCTGCTTCTAACTAATACGCTGTGTTGCTATGTTCTCCATCAGCTTATCCCCACAGTTGTCTTCTGCATCATTTTGAGCCTCCCTCTTAGATTGTAGGCTCTAACAAGCAGGGCCCTCTGATTCCTCTTTTACAAAATTGTATTTTAACTGTAACGTCTGCCTTCATTTTGTAAAGCGCTGTGCAAACTGTTGGCACTATATAAATCCTGTATAATAATAATACATACACATTCATTTTTATGATGTCAGAAAGGTAAAAGCAATGGAAACCTGGGATTTTTGAGATTCCAATTTAAGCTTACTTGGAAAAAATCTTTCATTTTGTGAGTTTTGCCTGTCTGCTAGTCATCTCTTTCCACAACTTCCTTTGCTTTGCAGCTTTTCCTCCCCTGTTTACATTCAATTTCTAAGGACTACATGTCCCACGGTACCTTGCTAGCTGCAAGCTGTGATTCCTGTACTGACTCCGCCTCCTTAAACTCCTCCTCTCAGCACCTCTGTAGTTCAGAAGGCAGGCTCTGTGAATTGTGTGACACAGCAATGCCTACTCACAGGGCATAGTGACTACAGTTCACAGAGTATAAGTAAGTAAATGTGTGGGGATCAAAGTAACTTTACAAACTTCCAGATCCTTCAGATTATTAGGCGTAGGCTAGAAATATTTGAAATACAATGTAGAAATATGAAAATATGATTTTGAATTTGACCATAGATACGCCTAAATACATTTAATTTTTTTTTTTTTTTTTTTAATTAAATAAATACATAACTGCATGAAATAGTATTTGCCTTGGGTTAAGCTTTAAATTACAATAATTTAGATATATTATTCATTTCTATGTATTTTCTCTGAGTAATTTATTTGATGAGTACCATACTTTAATGCGTTATGTTCAAGAACAGGCCCTGTGCCTGAATGTAGATCTATTGCCAAGCAAGTCAAATCTCCAACAGACAGTATAAAAACACTTGGATTTTTGTTGTTTGGGAGCTGATTAAAACCTCTGTCATATTTCTTTAATTGCCATCTATGTCACCGATGGGAAGGTTTTCCTGTAATTCCTTTATGCTCACAGAGACAGGAAGTTGGTGAAATCTCTGCAGTGTGGACAGGAAGGGTGGAAATACCTGACAGGGTTTGACTTTTCACACATTATTAAAATGGGAAAAAGCTTAGTCCTTCTTTTCTTCTTTTTTTCCCCTCCTTGAAAATTAAAGCATTGCTGGCCTTTAAATATTTCTATAATAGTATGCAAGAATTACCAGATTGATTGTAAACCTAAAAATGTTATGTTTCAGATATTACTGAATAACTTCTTTTTCCTTTTTTTTTTTAATTTTTTATATTTCTTTCTTTACTACAGGTATTAGAAGATGAAAATGCAAATGTTGATGAAGTGGAGTTGAGGCCGGATATCTTAATAAAGCTGTATTTGGGCTATAAAAAGTATGTAGATGTAAATTCCTAACAGTTTTTATGTCTTGTATAGTTTTTTTTTTTTTCTGCTGAATAGATTGGAATATAGCTGTCTTGCAAGATGGGACCTTTGAGGACAGACAATGTGGAACCTTCCATTGCTGAATTGTTTAAAAAGATGTAGGCCCTGGGCTGTCATCCTTGGCTTTAATTTACTAGTTAATGAGCTGCTGATCACTGATGTAAATAGGATGGGTATTTAGACATGGGGCAGCACAATGGCAAAGTAGTTAGAACTTCCGTCTAGCAGCACTAGCACCGTTGGTTCGAATCCCAACCTCAGCACTACCTGCCTGGAGTTTGCATGTTCTCCCTGTGCCTGTGTGGGTTTCCTCCCGGTACTTTGGTTTCCTCCCGCACTCCAATGACATGTTGGTAGGTTAATTGGCTCCTGTCTAAACTGGCCGTAGTTTGTGTATGTGTGAATGTGAGTTGTGGGCCTTAGATTGTACACCCCTTGATAGTTAGGGAATGATGTGAATGTACAATACAGGTTGTAACGGAACCGACCCAGGCTGCGCTTGAGTACTTCCCTTAGACTACTGCTTCCCCGTCCGAACACCAACAACAGACACCACAGCCGACCATACAAGACTAGACGACACCAGTCTTGAAGTAATCCAGAAGGTAGACTAGTTTATTTGAACACAGATACAAGATATATACACTCAGGGGACAATCTCTCCTCCCTGCATAATGACACAGGGTGGGGCAATCTACATTTAGTAATAAGAGACACACAGATATTCAAACTTCACACCAGCAGACAGTCCCATCAGGAGGGAGGGCTGCTGGAGACCCCCCCCCCACTAAGCTAATACACAAACACATACATCCCATAATAGTTTGCTCCCAAGCCAGACAAACAATAGAACAATGGGATGCAACCACATGGCATTAAACAATCAACACCCCCACACAATATTAGGACAGATTACCCTGCACCCCTAACAGGCACAAGGTGATTTACACATAAGAGGGATATGGGGAGCTGAGACAGGGGTCGCCCCACCTCTCCAAAGTGAGCTGGGTTCCATGGGCCCCAACCCAGAGTGACTCCCGTCACATAGGTGTAAAGTGCTGCGCTACTGATGGCACTATATAAATAACTTAAAAAAAAAAAAATAATACAATCAGTGTTAAATGTTGCAGCAAGGATCAGTATGACAGTCCCAAAGCCTAAATATTTCAAAAAAGTTTTGTTGGCTTTTGTTTTTTGTTCAGATAGATTTGTATTATGGGGAAACCATAGTCCCTGGTCAATGAGTACAGTTTTTGTAAAGACTATGTGACTTATTTGTTTGATTTTCCATGTTTCAGTTCTTCTGCTTTATATACAGTTTTGTAGAATGTAGGTGCTATCTAGCAGTTATGATCCCTGTACAAGAATAGGAAATTCTTCCATCAATCTGATTGGCTTTACAGAAAAGCATTGAGAGAGCAAGTAAAGCATAGTTACTGCAGTACAGAACTGGAAGCAGTGGCTGCATATATAAAAAGCACTTGTCTTTAAGAACTATACTTCAAAATCAGTTTTCTAAAAGCCCTAGCACACACTGGAATGTATTTGCATCAAGATGATTTTCACATCTAGAACTTAAAAAAAACAAAAAAAACAACTTTTGTATAATGCATACACTCATACCTAAAACATTCTACTAATCAAAAGTGAGAATAGTGATTCTTGAGCTGCTGCAAAATACAATCAAGCAATCAAAGTAAACCAATTATGTTTTAAATATTTTGACTTTGATTTAGGTACTCATTTTAGTTCTAACTCGTGATATACTGTTGTAATCTTCCACAAAACCTGCAATCCTCCACAGCACTGAGACTGGGAGAGAGGGGGCAGCACTCAGGGGTGTATGGTACTATCGCCCTAAACAGGTAACACTTAGAGGTCAGTATAGGGACGACTTAGGCTAGGTTGGGTCACAGACCATGCTGTATTACATTACTGCAGTGTAGTTTGGAGAGAAGTCTAGAGCCTGACTGTGAAACCTGTAATGGGTGTCTGGATCAGATGACTGGCTGAACAGAATTACAAATGGTTTGGCAGGTAAAATTTGTTGCACTGCATCTATATATTTCAGGTATGTATATCTGTTCACCTGGAGCTTTGTATTAAGCAAGTGTGCAGATAATTCCAACCAAAGTTTTCCAGATACTTTTGAAGAGTGATTGTATTAAAAAACAAAGTTGGTAGAACAATTAACTACAATAAAAAACAAGGGTATTTTTAACGATTAGTTTGCACAATATAGTCCTAGATTTCAACTCCTGAGGGTTAATTTACACAGATAAAGCCTTGGATGTGATTTGGACCAAAAAGGGGAAAGGCTTACTTTCTGGAAATGTTGGGTGGATAGGTTTAAATTGTTAAAATTTTGGTCTGTGCTTTCAGTGCGAAAAGCAAACATGTTTTCTTTTAAACTTTTATTGGATATCACAATAATTTTTATTTTTTTTTTTTTTTTCTTCTATGTCTGACTTGGCAGTAAGAAGCTTAGAGTTAACATTAACGTCCCCATGAAAACTGAGCAGAAACAAGAACAGGAGACGACGCACAAAAACATTGAGGAAGATCGAAAACTTCTCATCCAGGTAATACCCTGATTTCTGGCTCTAGGGTATTCCTTTTTTATGCTCAGAATCCAGGTTAAATACCCTCAACCTTGATGAAAAGAGCAGTGGCATTTTAACCTGGAATAAGTTTACCATTTGAAACTGTTTTCATCGATAGACTTCAGTAAAGAGTGCAGCCCACCTGGTCCAATTCTTAATTCTGTCCCTGTATCACCACTCTACAGTCCTGCCAAGAGCCATAAAGCCTTTCAAGCAGTGCAGAAAGTGTGCTTGCATCCTCTTTATCCTGCACATGTGCACTTGCCCAATTAACTTCTTTGGGAAGAGTTGTATTTTAAAGGATGGCTGGAAACCACCATGATTACAGCTTTCTATAGAAATGAGTAGGGCCATGGTGCAGAGGATGAAGAGGACCCAGTGAGGACCCAGTGAGGACTTTTCGTAAAGGATGTGTTGCTCAAATCAGGGCTACAATAGAGAAGATTGATGGAGGGTGAGGGGGGGGGTGTCGGGGTTTAAGTAATGACTAGGAAGGATGTACTTAGTGGGAGGGCCATGGCTTAAAAGGACAACTTGTATCAAAAGTACTGTTCCTGAAAAACAGTTCCCGTTTAAAGGGAGTCTATTACAAGCAAAAGACCTGTGAGAAAGTCTCAGATGTAGAGATGAGCTTGGGCATCTTCTAAACTCCTCTCTAAACCGAACTCCCATTTCTTTGTACTCTGTTGAGCTGCAGAGGGGATAAATGACCCAGCCTGCAGCTCATTGCAGTGCCAAAAATGTGGGAGTTCAGATTAGATAAGTTCATAGGATGCCGGAGATCATTTTTACTCAGATGGCGCCATTCTCTTACCTAATATGATTGCATATTCCATAGCAGTTACTCAATGAATAAGTTTGGCGTTCCACAAATTGCATGGTGCTTAAGTTAGGGAGTGACTGCTTTTACATGAACATTCCACATAAATATTCTGATTGGTGACAGGGTCAGTTTAATTGTCTGCAAATAATCAAGTCTGATGCTTTTAATATGGTTGATCACATAGAAAGTGCTTACAACCGATTCCACGTGGTGAGGCTTTAAAAATAGGCAGATCATGTTGTTGTTTAACCTTTCCAAAGTCAAATCTATAGGTTTAATTTAATTCATATTGCTCATACTGGTTTTGTGTTTTAACCTTTTCCACATATTGGTGAAAGATGGTAAGTAAAAAAAAAAAAACTGAGATATGAAGAAATTACACAGAAGAATTGATTTTGGAGTAAACAATGCATACAAGTCTGGGGGGTATAGCTTAGATTTAGGAGGCATGTGTTAATGATTGCTAGCCAAGTACTTTTGATTGCTGTGTTAATACTTTGAAACAGTCTTGAATCTTCCCTACAATGGAACTTGTGAGGCTGGGCACTAGGGACCATTAACCGCAGCGCTAGTACTAAAAAATGTATACTTTTTTTATATATCTTATGTTTTCAAATTGTAGCTTTCTTTTTTTAATAAACGTGAAATACGTAAATTTCACTTTCTTTGATTTTTTTTTTTTTCTGTATTTTGTTTTATATTTTACAACAGTCATTGAAATCTCTGTAATATTAAGTGCACATTTTCTTGTGATTTAGGCCGCCATTGTACGAATTATGAAAATGAGAAAGGTCTTGAAACACCAGCAACTCCTTGGAGAAGTCTTGACCCAGTTATCATCAAGATTCAAGCCACGCGTTCCTGTAATCAAGGTGTGTAAAATAGATTCTGCTTTCTGTGGAATATCTAGTGTTACCGCTTAAAAAAAATCTTCGCTATGAAACTCTTTTATTTAAAACATTGGAAAACAGACCTTGGACTGTCATTTTTCTGTGCTTACCAGGTTCATGCTCCTTCTGTCCTACAGAAATGTAGCGCAAGAAGGGAAACCACTATTGTAACATTTTTGGTTCTGTCCTCCTCCGGATATGTTTGCAGTGATAACAATTGTCAGTTCTGGGCTTACATTTATTTTATTTATTTCAGGTACTTATATAGCGCTGTCAATTTACGCAGCGCTTTACATATATATTGTACATTCACATTAGTCCCTAAACCTCAAGGGGTGTACAATCTAAGGGCCCTAACTCACATTCATACAAACACATATTACGGCCAATTTAGATAGGAGCCAATTAACCTACCAGTATGTCTTGGGAGGTTTAGGAACTTGATGTGCATACAGAATGACTGATGACATCAGCTTTTCCTTTGGATGATTACATGCAAGATGAAATCCAGAAATGAATAGCACCCCAACTCAACAAGCCAACACACCACGGTGCAGCTCACCCCAGTGCACTGTAGTTTCTGAAAGAGTGGGTGCAGTTTTTTTTCCCCATGATTTAGGTGTGCCAGCAGCTTATTCAACATGAATGCACAACTTTTAATGCAATGCACATTAACACGAGTGTGTAACCGTACCACACAAATGTGAGCCTGGTCTTACTTTCCAGTCACAGTTTGGGAAAGGGAAAGGACATGAAAGTGTTACTTAATTGCAGCAGATAAAAATTAGCTTCCTTATCCTGCTAGTCAGAGCTGTGATGCATGAGAGAACTGGATGCAAATTGACAAATTGATGGCAGGTAAAATGGGTTCCAGATAGTATTTTATCTGTGTATTTAGCTATTTAGTTTAGCTTTAAGCAATGCAGAAGCTTCATTCACACTTGGCTGCACATCACTCCATGCCCAAAGAGGTTCTGGAGATTCTTTGGCACGTTAGCTGCACTGAGTGGGTCAAATCTGCAAGTTTTACTGTGAAAGGCACACTATATATGAAGCATCACTAAATGGTGGATCATGATCCAGGCCGAGTCACGGTCCCATCTGGACCACCATGGTCACGCCACTTAGGAGCTGCTACTTTCCTCCCAGTTTCCGTTGCTTTCATTCCCACAGCAGTGCAGAAGAGTGGGAGGCAGGACAGTTCTAGATGCAAGGTGAGAGGCACAGCAGTAGTACTGGACGGAGGGCCGGAATGGGAGTTAACTTCTCAAGTAACCAGCAGGTTCCAATCACCAGCTTGTAAATATGAAATGTTTAATTGAGCAGCTCCCACTCCTGTCTTCCATCCATTGCTCCTGTGCCTCCCACCTTCAGTCCTGGATAACTGTTTAAGGTGAGAGAGTGAGGGGGGGTAGAGGAAATGGCTTGGGGGGGGGGGGGGGGTTGATGTGAAAGGAAGAAGAGGAAATGGCTGTGGAAGAAGAGGATTGGGTGATGGGAAGGGGGGCTAGGCCATGGCTGTGAGGAGGGTGATAGGAAGTGGGGTTGAGGACACTGCTGTGAATAAAGGGGGGGGGGGGGGGGGGGGGGATATGAACACTACTGTGAAGTGGGTGTGAGGTGGTCTGTGATGTAAAGGTGGGTTTTTGATACGCAGGGAGTACTGTGGACACGGATGTAAGAATGCTATTGTGATGTAATATGAGAGGGGAGCCGTGATGTGAAGGATCTGTCATAACACAAACATGCGATTCGGACTTCTGCTGCAAGAAAATATTACTGATAGAACCTCTATGAATTTTTTAAAGCAATACCCCTGTTATTTGAGGGGCGTTCAAGTCAAACTGGGACTTTAGAGTTTATATTCTAAATGAACAAATTTCAAGGAGTGGAAACTGCATTTATTTTTTGACATACTCTCCTGCTACATTTGTACACTTATCCCAGTGTTTAATGCCTGGAAAGCTTTGACATAGAAAGACTCGTCAGTACTCCTGAACCATCCTAGGACAGCCTGCTTCACTTCATCATTATTGTGTTCACCGTTCCCACAGAAAGATTTGTCTCTTGTGCAATTTCATGTCAGGTTATGCGTCGATTACACTGTTCAACAAATTTTTATTTTTTGCCAGTTTTGGAAACAAAAGGATCCATTTCTTAATGAATTTCACATTCTGAGTTCAAAATATAACAATGAAATTTGTCAATTGGCTCTAGTTTTTCTGTAAACGGAAAGTTTTCTACTATAGGCGTAATGACTACATAATGCACAATAATTATATAGATAGATGTCTTTCCACAAATATAAAGCAAGTGATATTGACTACATAACAAAGCCTAAATGGCATAATATATTGCATAGGATTACCAAGAAAAATTATAGCCATAAGCTAAGTTGAATCATTTTAATACTTAGGATTCTCACTAGTTTTGTCTTCAGTTTGTGTCGGTTTTGCTTCTCTTGGCTTTTCTCTTGTATTCGAGGAAAGGGCTATCTCTTACAACTGCACGTGACTACATGCTTCAGGTTCTTCCTCACTTGACTCAACCACGAAGGATTCTGGTGCTTTAGGAATTGGTAGCCCCTCTCCATGAGGAACTGGACGTATTGCCGATGGAATATTTGGATAGTGCACAGATAACTTTTTCTTCTTATTTAGCCCTTTTACAATTGGAGGCACCATACAAAAGTAACAATTACTAACATGATCTGTTGGCTCTCTCCAAATCATTGGCACAGCGAAAGGCATAGATGCCTTTTTTCCATTCAACCATTGCTCCAGTGCCGTCCCACAAGAATTGCAGCATATATGTGGTGCCCAGCTCTTGTCCTGGTCTCCTATCTTGCAGCCAAAATACAAGTTGTAGGCTTTCTTAATCATTCCTGTTATCCTCCTTTTTTGTGAGATAAAAGTTATTTCACCGCAGATATAGCAGAAATTATCTGCTTTATTCACACAAGTTCGAGGCATTACTGAGTAGCCTATATAAGCATAAAACGAAATGTAAAGACGCTGTCAAACTACAATCAGCTACAGATACTGCAGCTTTTATGCAGTGAAGTGATGCAATTAAAGGCTAATATTGCATCATCTCAGTATACATGCAATTTTCTATTGGTCACCAGTATCAATTGCGCAATATGCAGCTGAAGTTGCATCATAATTTTGAATGGCTTACGTCATTAGATGGGTGAATATATCATGGAAACTAGAGCCAATCAACATTTTTTAGGGTCATTTTTCGTTTTCAGCACCCCAAAATTATGTAAGATTAGCTAATTTTATGCCCAAAACTTTTTACCTGTTGAACAGTGTTATCCAGGCTTAGGCATTCCACGGGCTGACTGTTCACAGGAATGGCTGCTGTGGGCTTGGAACCATCACAGCCTGGATTGTCACTGATGGATGTACAGCCATCTTTGAAACATTTACTCCAATCAAATGTCTTACTGCAGCTGAACGTCTCATCACTGTACTGTACTTGAAGTCTTCTGTAGATATCCGTGGGTTTTACACCTTCGTTCACAAGAACATCATCACCACACGCTGTTCCATGCATGCACTAACACTGCTGTCTGCAATCTTGATTAACAGTCTCTACTGGGCTGTGCCCTGTGCGTCGCCTATTAGTAATAGGACACACTTGCCACTTACTACATGTAGTACCGCCAGCTAGCATCCCTTTTTATACCTGTAAAATTAAAGATCCCAGTTTGACTAGAATGCCCCTCGTATATTATTAACTATGACTCCAGAAAAGTAGTGATTGCACTTTATTTTCATTACAGTAATTGCTGTAGTTGAAAATATTTTGTCCCGGACAAAGTGTCCATAAAACATTTAAAGTATTAGGCTGCTTCTTTATTAAGTAATTGTAATGTTTATCCACTGTAGCACAGCCTGGGGCCACATTAAATTCTTAAAGTTCTAAGATTGGCTTGATTATTATTATACAGGATTTATATAGCACCAACAGTTTACGCAATGACAATATAAAGGTGGACAGTACAATTACAATACAGTTCAATGCAGAAGGAATAGGATTGCCCTGCTCATGGAGCTTACAATTTTAAAAGGGAGGGGGTGATGATACAAAAGGTAATAGCGGCAGGGGATGATCTGATGTAGGTGACTCAAGTACAGTTCTTAGGTGAAGGTGGGGTAGGCTTTCCGGAATAAGTGGGTTTTCAAAGATCGCCTAAAGGCAGACAGGGTAGGAGCTGACCGGATATACTGGGGCAGGGAGTTCCAAAGTATGGGAGAGGCTCTGAAGAAGTCCTGGAGGCGAGAGTGGGAGGAGATAACAAGGGAACTGGAGAGCAGGAGGTCTTGGAATGAGAGGAGAGGACCGTTTGGGCAATATCTGCAGATGAGGTTGGTGATGTGACTGGGGGCGATGTTGTGGATGGCTTTGTACGTTGTGATTAGTATTCTGAATTTTACACGTTGGGCTAATAGAAGCCAGTGATGAGATTGGCTGAGAGGGGTAGCAGTCACTGATCAGTAAGGTGTATTAGTCTAGCAACAGCATTCATAATAGACTGGGGGGGGGGGGATAGCCTGTGTGTAGGGGCAGGCCAGTGAGGAGGGAGTTGCAGTAGTCAAGGTGGGATATAACCAAGGAGTGAATAAACTGTTTTGTGGTGTCATTTGTCAGAATGTTGCAAATGCCGGAAAAATTGCGGTGTTGAGGCGGCAAGATTTAGCCAGTGATTGGATATGGGGTTTGAAGGAGAGCTCAAGTCTAGGATTACACCTAGCACCCTGGCATGAGTGGAGGGACCAATGGTTGTGTCGTTGATCTCAATGGTAAAGTCATATGGAGGAGATCAGGGAGGAGGAAATATATAGTTTTAAAAAGATTGAGGAAGTGGTGTGACATCCAAACGGACATGTCGCTCAGTAAATAATCGTAAGGAGATTGAGGGGATGAGTTGAGGAGTTGAGAAATAGATCTGGGTGTCATCTGCATAGAGGTGGTATTGGAAGCCATGGGAGGTTATCAGTTGGCCCAAGGAAGAAGTATAAAGAGAGAAGAGGGAGGGGCAAGGACAGAGCCTTTGGGTGCCCCAATAGGAAGAGGAGTGGAGGAGACTGTATTGTATGTGACAACAAAGGTCTAAGAGTATGGAGTACTGGCCATTGGTTTTAACAGTTAGTAGGCCATTGGTGAGTTTTAACAGGGCAGTTTCGGTGGGATGTTGCAGGCAAAAGCCGGACTGTAGGGGATTGAGAAGGTGGTTGTCGGTGAGTTAGCAACTCATACGGTTGTGGATAAGGCATAAGAAGCTTGGAGGCAAAGGGGAGCAGGGAGTCTTAAGTAATTCAAACAGATGGGGTCTAGCGAGGGAGATTTTTTTTTTTTTTTGTTTTTTTTTTTTTTATGGGGGTGACCAGTGCATAGGGAGAGGTTGAAGATGTCGGTTAGAGAGTTTATGATGGAGCAGGAAGGTGGTTGCAGTAATTGTGAGAGGTGTGGTGGGCAGCGGAAAGGAGTTTGGTAACTTCCTCAGGGTTGAAGGAAAGTGTTGAGTGTAGTGTGGGACATGGTGTGTTTGGGGGAAAAAGCCGGACACTGGATATCTCACCATGAATTTGTGTTTTGTTTTTTAAATGATTGGCAATCTCATGGGCAGTAAGCAAGTTGGCGGCTGGAGGCAGTGGGGGTGAAGTAAGGAATTAAGGGTAGAAAAGATTTGACGAGGATTGGATAAAAGGGTGGTGTAGTAGGTTTGTTTAGCAGCGTGGAGGCCGGAGATGTATTTGAGAAGGGCAGATTTGTACAGGGTGAAGTCTTGCAGGGATTTAGTTTTACACCACACTCGTTCAAGAACACGGCTGTGTCTCTTGAGACTTCTGGTGTCATTGCAAGGAAGAAGTGAGAGGTTGCATGTGGCCCAACAAATACATTGACTTGCCTGCTCTTTGTTACTATACAAAGTAATTGAAAGGGAGGCACCTGCTGGCTAATGGACATTGCTGCATTGTATCAGTTAAACTGCATTGTAAAAGTCTAAAAGTGCACATATACTGTAGTAATATGCACGATGCTGTGAAGGTGGAGAGTGGGGGAAGCAGATACTGTACCTCGTTATAAATAATATTAGTAATGACAGATGGAGTGGAGGAGTAAGATATGACAGGCTCATCTCATAGTGACACCAATCCCTTCAAAAACATAACTTTTCTATTCAGATTGTTGGTAGGGGATAAACTTGAAATCATCTCATTAGTGGAGAGTAATATGGTAGGTTGTACCAGGGGCGGACTGACCATTTGGAAACTTGGGCACTGCCCGAGGGCCCGAGGTCAGTAGGGGGCCCCATGAGATGCCTCTGGTACCTTTTTCATAGGCTTTTTTGAGTTTGTGCAAGGACACAGCGGCCTCATGATCCCCTATTGCCCGGGGGCCCCCATGAGTTGTCAGTCCGCCCCTGTGTTGTACTTAATATTACCTTTCCGGAATACCCTAAAAACCTGGATAAATAAGGAGGCTGTGTGCACCTTCCATACTACCTTCTCCAAGACTACAACTTTAGAAATGGGCCACTTTGCACACCCTAATGTCATTTCTTTGTATTGTCCTGGAATTGTGAATAAATTCACAAGATTTCAGAACTGTTTAATTACTTTGTGATGGTGGATGGACTTTTATATATTTTTTTATCACGGACATCATTTTAAACTAATAATTTTTGTATTTACTTATATTTAGCGCACTCTTTGATTTATTCACATTTTTATTGGTTTTTTTATGGTTAGGAGTGCAGCTTTCATTTTATTTAGTTTGTGGCGCTTTTGTTTTTCCTGTATTTCTTATATTATCATTGTCCTGGAATTGTTTGTCTGATGATTGTATTGAAATGGCTTCTCACTACTGTTTTTTCTTTCTCCCCAGAAATGTATCGACATCCTTATAGAAAAGGAGTACTTGGAGCGCGTGGATGGAGAAAAGGACACATACAGTTATCTGGCTTGAATAAGAAAAAAGAAAATTTTATACTTATTATTTAGAAATTGCCTGATTGGATAAATGTCATTTGTGTGACACTCAGCAGATAGTGAAAGTGATATGATGGAAAGAATGGTGACACAAAGGAACTTCATAGGAGCTGAATTGCTGCCACTTGGTCCGACTCTTTTTACCAACCCAGAAACAGGACTCCCAAACGCCAGCCCAGGGACTGCCACCATTTCAAGCATGTAAATATGGATATATGGACACCTAAGCCCTTTTAATTTAAGAACTGAGGGGAGCCTGTACCCAAACTGATGTTTGCATGCTACCACCTCCCTCCTTTTAAATCAGTCCAATTTTGCTGTACAGGCACCAGATGTCAATGAAGCTAGTTCTAAATATATTGGCAGCACAATGACCTAGAGTATGGAATGGACCTAATGTAATCTGCTATGAAATCCCATTTGTATAGTGTGTTTCATTTTTTTAATGTGTGAAAATAAAACCGGAAAAAAAAAATTCAAACTTTTCTGTACGAGTTGTGTTCAGCTGGTAACCCCTCTGAAATGGGACCATGAGCTAAGAATCGTCCTACAGAGACCATCTTTTGGTAAGGAAATCTACAATGCTTTTTTCATTGTCACACAATGGCAAGATATGCACGTTTTAACCCTTTGTGGGATTCCTAGAAATGAATGGTTGGAGAGATGCATTGTATTGGCAAATGTTTGTGGACTTCTGCCCATTATGTATGAGCTTTTGTACATCCCATTTCAAAACTACGGACATTAACCACTTACCCTCCTGAGGATTTACCCCCCTTCCTGACCAAGCCTCTTTTTGCTACTCGGCACTGCACTAATTCAACTGATAATTGCGCGGTCATGCAATGCTGCACCCAAACGAAATTTACGTCCTTTTTTTCACACAAATAGAGCTTTCTTTCGGTGGTATTTGATCACTTGTGCGCTTTTTATTTTTCACGCTATAAACAAAAAAAAAGACCCAACATTTTGAAGAAAAACTATTTTTTACTTTTAGCTCTAAAAAATATATAGTAAACGCAAAGTTAGTTATAAATTTAGGCCAAAATGTATTCTGCTACATGTTTTTGGTAGAAAACAATCCCAAAAAGTGTACATTGATTGCTTTGTGTGAAAGTTATAACATCTACAAACTATGGTATAGATACTGCAGTTTACAACATTTTTTTGCATTCAGCGCTGCTCTAGTTTAACGGATAATTGCGCAGTCATGCAATACGGTACATAAATAAAATTTACATCCTTTTTTTTTTTTTCCCCACAAATTGAGCTTTCTTTCGGTGGTATTTGATCGCCTGTGCGGTTTTTTCTTTTTTGCACTATAAAAAAAGGCCAACAATTTTGAGAAAAAATCGATATTTTGGACTTTTTGCTATAAAACATGTCCAGTAAAAAAAATTAAAAAATCTAATTTAGTCATAAATTTCTGCCAAAATGTATTCTGCAACATGTCTTTACTTAAAAAAAAATCCCAATATGTGTAAATTAATTGGTTTACGTGAAAGTTATAGCGTCTACAAATGGCGGGAAAGATACTGGGATTTTTTTTTTATTATACTAATAATGGCGATCAGCGACTTATGACAGTGATCAGCGATTTATGACCGTGATCAGCGACTTATGGCGGGACTGCGGCAGACATTTTGACACTGGGGGGGAACTGACTTGGGGTCACTGACATCCCCAGAGACACCAATACAGTGATCAGTGCAAAAAAAAAAAAAAAAACACTTGACACTGTACTAATGGCACTGGGGAGGAAGGGGTTAACTTTTATTAGGTAAAGAAAGGGTTAACCATGTGAGAGGAGTGTTTTACTAGGGGGCGGGGGTGTGTACTTCACAGGAACACGCTGATCCTGAGAGATAAAGTCTTCTCTCAGGTTCAATGTGCTCTGAACTGACAGCAGAGCTGCAATGTAAACACTGCAGCCGTGTTATCTGTCAGTGATTACTTGTAATCGCCAATGCCGGGAGTCGGTGATGGACACCCGCTGCCATGATCGGCGGGACAGGTAGGGCGGGCGCGCGCCCCCTACCTATTTTTGCACAGCGACGTTAAAAGACGCGTGGTACAGGTGCCGCCCTGCCACAGTAAAAACACTGCGGCGGGTCGGCAAGCGGTTAATATAGGGTTGGTCTTCTCTTTGCAGCTATAACAGCTTCCTGGAGGAAGGCTTTCTATAAATTATTGTCTGTGGGAATTGGTGCCCATTCAGTCAATAGAGCATTTGTGGGGTCAGGTAGTGATGTTGGATAAGTAGACCTGGCTCAGATCTCTTCGGTGTTCAATGAGGTCAAGGCTTTTTGCAGGATGCTCCAGTTCCTCCACACCAAACTTGTCAAACATTGTCTTCATGGAGCTGGCATTGTGCACAGGAGCACAGTCATGCTGGAACAGAAAAGTATCTTCCTCAAATAGTTGCCATAAGGTTGGAAGCACACAGTTGTCTAACATTCTGTGTGTGTAGCCATAACAGCTGACTTTATTGGAAACAAAGTAATTAATAATTGGGAGGGCTGTCCACAAACACTGCCTTATAGACGGTTTCTCCTTTTCAGTGTAATGGTGCCATCTACTGGATGTACTTGAACAAACAGCAATTTATTTCCTTTTTTTGCTTTCCGATTTTCACTTTGTAGCCCAAAACTGGCATTGCGAAGAGGTATTGCCACAAGAAGCTTGTTGACCCCCCCAACCAAGGGGATTCACTGTGCAAGGGTTTTCAAATAAAATATTTTTATTTCTGTCAGTGCTGGATATACACCCCCCCCCTTTCTAAAGCTTAAATTATGGGTGTTCCTATAAGAGCGTTACAGCCAGCACTGAGCCCCCCACCCCCTCTTCATTCTGTAGCCCTGTTCCTCCTAATCTCTTCTCCGCTCCCTATTTTGAAGTGAAAGACTGAGCCCCATATGACAAGCAAGTGCTAAATATGTCCCAAATACCATCCATCCAAAGCAAATGCTTTATATTTTTCTTGATGTCTCCACTTACTGTATCTTAAGTAATCCATTCCATCACAGCTTTTGAGGTCAACTTCTACATGAACATTTTTCATTAATCATAGTACGTTCTGCCGAGGACATGAGATAAAACAGCTGCTGTTCTTTCCAGAGCAGTTGGCGCCGTAGGGAGACCCAAGTGTACACCTGAACAGAAGGTACTGTGATTAATAATGTGAGTGTACTATAGTTACATAGTCTGGCTGAAAAAAGACAAAAGTCCATCCAGTTCAACCATAAAAGTAAAAAAAAAATTATAATTCTATACCCACAGTTGATCCAGAGGAAGGCAAAAAAAAAACCGCACTATAGGAAAACATTTTGTAAACTTTGACCTCTGGAGCTGTGACTGAAGGCATTGCAATATACAGTGAGTGGAGGCATCAAGAAATAAATGTATAGCCACGTGCTATGGACAGATGGAGGGTGGGAAGGGAGTTATGCTGGCTCTGTACACACTGCCTGTCATACCCCCTCTCCTCTGTGCTGAGTTGCTGTCTCCTTTGTCCAGTGTTGGTGGATAGCAGTGGTGAGAGGGGGATGAGCAGTGGATCCCCAGGGCAGATTAGCAAGCTTTTCATGTGAGGGTGATACAGCTTCAAGTAATGCCAAATCTGCATGTGTACCAGGATAAAGTCGTGTGGGCTGTAGCTTGAATTGCATGGTACTGGCATATAAATTTAGTAAATATGTAGTGCCGTAGCGTCTTCTGAAAATGCTTGTGTTGTACTAACAAGTGGTTTCGCTGACTCTGAGATTCTAACTATCTTGATCTGCTTAATTGTCCAAACATGCATACTCGTTAAGCATCAAAGTCGTGTGAAGTATTATGCAAAGCAGCTAGCATTTTCAGAAGAAAAGGTGAACAGTGGCAGCCACCACATTTCTCTTATAACATGTTCTCTTTAACAGAGGACTGGGTCACATCATTGAACATTTTGTGTGGGACCCTTAACCCAAGTAACAAAGTGACTTTCATTTGGATGTCAGCCTTAGGGCTCATGTACACTGAAGCTGATAAACTGACGTTCAGGAGCTTTTCTGCATTTTTTTCAGCAGCCCCTGAACTCTCCCTAATGTTTTCCTATGTGTCCATGTACACTATGTCGTTTACAGTAATTTTTTTTTAACGCACCAAACTTGCGTTCGGGAGTAGATTTTTCCGGCTTTCAAACGTGCGTAAATGTGGTTAACTGCGTTTATAAGCATTTGCGTTTTAGAGTTTTTTTTTTAACTGTTCCATATCCAGATGCTGTCCAGAGCCTTTTTTTCCATCAGAAATGCATGCATTGCCTTTTCCATGTATTCTAATGGACCTAGTACACCAGCGCAGTCCGTTCCAGGTTTTGCGTGAAGCAAAAAATGGTAGAAGGTGCTGCATTATTATGGGATCCATAGTGAATACAACCAGAAAAGACAGTTCATCTCAACACAAACTGCTCTCTCTGCTTCTGCTCTATTTCTCTCAAAATGTCTGGAATAGTTAATTATTTACTATTTTTCAGTGCATTCTGGGCATTTGGGAAGGTCTCCTGAGGTTATCTTTTAACAATGCTTCTAAATGCACATAAACGCATAGGTTAAATGTTTTTTAACCTATGTTTTCCAGCAGTCAGTTTCCATCGTTCAGAAGAGTTTTCCAAACGCTCCGTGTATATGAGCCATTAGAAATTATTTCCTTAAAGGCTTCTCAGCAGTCATATGTGGTACTTCTAAGAGATCCTTGGGGGCTGCCATTGCTACATATTTTGAAATAGCTAATTACCTGTCAAGTGTACCCTTTTGCTTCAGATCTAACCTAAAAGTGCACCTGTGCCCAGACTATGGACATTAAGATATTTACATCTTCTTACAAATCATAAACGCCCTCACTCTGCTCTCTAGATCTATATACTGTGCAGTAATTCATCCTCAAAGACCACAACAAAGAGGTTTCAAAGGCTACTTTCACACTGATCCATGGCAAAAACAC